CTCTCATGTCAGTCCTTCTCTCTCTGGCCCTCGGTTAATACTCTGGTCTCTTTCTGGCCCGCGTCGAGGGAGCCATTGCCGCCCATGTGCCTGGCCACCTGCACAGTGCGTCTCTCTCCGGTCAGCACCCACAGTCTTACGTTTGCAAACAGAGTTAGACATCAGCTGCCCATGGCGGGCACCGGGGCCTGCTCTCTCTCAGTCTCCTCCTTGTCTCCTTCCAGCACGTTAGTCAAATGCACACGTGTGACCTGACTGCTGATAGTGGGGAGGGCCAGAAGGAAAAATACCAAAATAAAGAGCCACATTAGAGAGCAGAGCTAGCTTTTTTCCTGTTCATCCAGAAATGGGTTATGTCTAGTTGTGTCACTACTTGTAACCAACTAAATCAATGAACTTGACTCCTCCCTGCCCAGAAGAGCCCGGCGTTTGACTGAGCCCCAGGAAACCCACAGTCCCTGGACCCCACAGACCTGCCAGGGATCCCGAGTAGGCAGCCCAGGTGAAACTGCAGAGGGCAGGAAACCAGTGCATCAAGGAAGAGCCTGGGGCTCAGGTGACAGACCTCCGCGGTCATGCCCGGCATCAGTGTGCTTCCAGAGTTGGATGCTCCTGTGGGACACAGGACCAGGGAACAGGGCGGCTTCCAAGAGAGTTTGCTTCCCGTGAAAATCACAGCTTGTGAAACTTCCCCCAGCTGCGGGAGCTGTAGATTGTGTAATTTCGAAGAACCTAAAATAAGTTTCAGATCTCCTGCCAGCGTCCCTGTACTGGCATGACCTTGCCCTGAAACGCTTGGACCTCCTGTGAGAGGCAGCGGTCACTGGGAATTTCCTCTGGTTGCTGGGCAGGGGCTCCGTAAGCACTTTTCATTTCATCTGGACGGAACATACTCAGGATGGGGCCTCCCTATGATGCTGCCTTCATTGACTGAATTGCTGTCGCCCCAATGTCCATGAGCAGGTGTGACTTGGTGCCCGATCTGGAAGCCCAAGGGTCTGGCTGGCTCCCCCGTGGCCTCATCTTCTGCCTCATGTGGGTTGGCTCTCCTGGTGGACTGGAATCTGCTGCCCTGGCTCAGTTGTCGAGGGATCTCCTGAGTTTGCTGGCACTGGTCCCTGTGTGTGAAAGGGGATGCTGCTTCCTGTCCCAGCACCCAGTGGGCAGGGCCCTGAAATGGCCCAACTCCCCGCTGTCCCCTCCTTGGTGTGCCTTGTCACGCGGGTCTTAATTCAGCCTCTGCCACACGGCTCACCCTTGGGCTCTGAGAGGCCGGAGTTTCCCTGGAGGTGCAGAGTCAAGGTTGCCTGACAAAGCTAGGCCCATGTGAGAAGTTTCCCACTGGAAGTCAGAGCTGCCCGTCTGCCCCAGTGTCCAGGACTCCGGTGCCCGGCACCTGGTGCCCAGTGGATGTCAGGTTTCTTGAGACTAAGAATCTTTCACTGTAGGAAGGGTCTGTCTATAACTAAAACACGAGAAGACTCTTTCCCTGTCTTCTTCTTGTTGAGCTGTTTCAGTTCCTTAACACCCATGTCCTTGCAGACCTGGAGTGGAAGATCATTTACGTCGGCTCAGCCGAGAGCGAGGAGTTTGACCAGATCCTAGACTCGGTGCTGGTCGGCCCTGTCCCAGCAGGGAGACACATGTTCATCTTTCAGGTAAGAAAGATGAAGCCTTAGGCCTTGACACCTAGAAACATCCTCTTCCACCCAAAAGCACACAGTGTGGTTCACCGGTCAAAAGTTCAGGTTCAAGGGCTGGCCCAGTGGCGTGGTTAAGTTGGTGTGCTCCATTTCAGTGGCCCGGGGTTTGCAGGTTCAGATCCTAGGCGTGGACCTGGCACTGCTCATCAAGCCACGCTGTGGCAGCATCTCACATAAAAGAGAGGAAGATTGGCAACAGATGTTAGCTCAGGGCCAACTTCCTGGCAAAAAAACAAATTCAGGCTGAAATCCTGGCTCTTCTCTCGAGAACTGCCTGACCTCTCCGAGGCACTTCACACCCTCCCTCTTCTCCACCTTGGTCAGAGCTCTTACCACGAGCCACTGATTCACAGCTGACTCTCGTTATTTGCAGTAGTTACATTCTGGGCAGTCCCTGCGAACACTGTGTTAGGGAATTTTTGAATGCTGAACCATCGCCCCTAGAGGAAATCCAGGGTTAGGGTTCTTGCAAGTCACATTTTTGTCGGCCAATCAATACAAAGCCTTGTTTTATGTCTGTTTTTGTTAAAGACACCTTATTTAGTGGTAGTATTGATCGCTGACAGTGAACTCTGAGCCAGCAGCACGTAGCTCGTGCCTGAACGAAGCTTCTCTAACACACGTATTTCTCCATGAGGAACAGCACAGCCTCCTTGTGCTTAGGGACACTAGACAGTGCTCAGCACCATGCTGGGGGCATTTTAAAGGGCAAAATCACCAACAAAAAGCACAAAAATGCAACAAACACCTAAATAGGCCATGAAGAGAACACAATTCATTTAGAGTAAGAGCTGAAACAAGAGGAAGAGCATTGCCTCGTGGGGCCTCAGCTGGGGACGTGCACATCCAGCCACTCAGATCCCCCATTCTGCGTGTCGAGTGACGGTAAGAGCGCCCCAAGTACTGATTTGGGGTTGCAGATACACTTTAATGAGTAGGCGGGTTCACCAATCCCAAGCCCCAGATACGAGGCTCTGCCGTGGTTGCCGGTAGACCCCCCCGGCACCAGGGGCATCAGAAGCGCCGACTTAGCGTGACCCTTGCTCACACTTAAGTTTGAAAGCCTTGGCTCAGACCCACTCCCTACTTCACCCCTGCTGCTCCCGCCCCAATCAAGGCAACCTCGCCCTGTCGCACCTCCTCCCCCGTCTGTCCACAGTCACCCCCTCCAGCCCGCCCACCTCCAGGGCCGCTCCCAGGCGCGGCCGGCTGAAGCGTACTAAGTTTGGAACACGGAGCCCCGGGTCTTCAATTTGTGTTGGTCTCAGTTCGCACCAGTTGTGCAGCCAGTCCCCTCCATGCGTCACACCTTGAATCTGGCCACCTCTCTTTCCCCACCGCCTGGTCCGGGCCGCTGTCCTCTCTCCAGAATGACTGTGGCAGCCTCCTCCTGCCCCCCGGCTCCATGGAGCCTTCCTCCCGCACAGCACCACGCGCTGCCACAGGCTTTGCAGAGCGCGGGAGAGCTGCAGCACTGCCCTCCTGCTAAACATTCTCGCAGCTTCTCTCCCAGCCCTTAACTGCCCAACAGGCCCTGGGTGGCCTGCTGCCCCCCTGTCCAGCCTCAGCCTATGCCACCCTCCCCCCTGCTTGCTACCCTCCTCCTCAGTGCCATTTACTTCTCCTTTGTGGCACCTGTCACATTCAGCACTTGACAGGTGTTTGCAGGACTGATTGTCTTCCCCACTTGATTGAAAGTTCCCGAGGGCAGGTACCGTACTTTTGGCTCAGGAGATACTGTTACTTGAGAATCATTGTTGCTGATGGAGTGTGACTGTGGTGACCCATGCTGAGGCCCAGGTTGTTTCCTCCAGGCTGACGCCCCCAACCCGTCCCTCATCCCCGAGACCGACGCCGTGGGGGTGACCGTGGTGCTCATCACCTGCACGTACCATGGGCAGGAGTTCATCCGTGTGGGCTACTATGTCAACAACGAGTACCTCACCCCCGAGCTGCGGGAGCACCCGCCCCTGAAGCCAGACTTCTCTCAGGTGGGCTTGGCTCTGCACTCCTGCTCCAGAGCGCCAGCTCTGCACAGCAGGGAGTTGAGTCGTTGGAGTTGGGAGCCAAGGTCACTTCTTAAGGTTTTCAAGTAGTGCTCAGATCTCGCAGCACCAGGCCAGAACAGGAGAGAGAAAGGCCTTTGTTTCTCAGAAGCATGCCTTGCTGAATCCAGATTAGATAGATCCTGGCCCTCAACCCTGGCACGCGGGCATTCCCTGGACTTCCGTCCGTAGCTGTGGTGGTGACGGGATAAGCAGGGTCTGCTTGTCCTGGGGTGGGGCAGGGGTTTGGGGGTGCCCTGGCTCTGTGGGAATAATGAGAGGGCACGCTGATAAGGGTTGACGTTCCTCTTCCTGCCCCAGCTCCAGCGGAACATCTTGGCCTCAAACCCCCGGGTGACCCGCTTCCACATCAACTGGGACAACACCACGGACAGGCTGGAGGCCGTGGAGAACCAGGCCCCTGCCCTGGGCTGCGGCGCCCCCCTCAGCTGCACTCCTGTCAAGGGCTTGGGGCTCCCTGGCTGCATCCCTGGCCTCCTCCCCGAGAACTCCATGGACTGCATCTAACTGGGGACCCAGGCCCAGCCTCGGCCCAACTGGCACCGCGGCCCATCTCCTGGCTCACTGGGAGGGGGTGGCCGGGCCTCCCGGAGAGTCCCATGTGGAGGACTTAGGGCCGTCGGCTACATCCAGGCTGGTCAGACTTGGCTCCGAGGAGGGAACAGGCCTCACGTCGCCCAGCCCAGCCGGATCGTCTCGCCTCTCCTGCCAGGCCTGTGAGAAGCGGGGGCTGCATTTCTTCATTCCTTCTGACTCGTGTCCTTTCTGTCTTCCACACCCACCGTCAGTTCCACCTGCAGCTCATTGTGCCACCATGCTCCCGTGAGTACCATTGACCTGGAGCTCTTCCCACAGACCTCCCTGGCCTGCTTTGAGGCTTTCTTGGTCAATGCCTGGCAAAGCTCTGGCCTTCTTGGGCCAAAGGCTCTGTCTTTCCTTTCCCTTCCCAAACATCTGAGCAGAATCCACCCAGCTTTCTGGAGTCTGGGACAAGGAATCTTGGTTTGAAGGTGGACTTGGACACGATTTCCAGCATTCTCTCAATGATTTTTAGGTCTTTTCAATCCAACAGCCCCTGGAAAACTCTGTTCCCAAAAGTGTGATCAGCAGGATGCTGAGGAATGATGGCTGACTTTCTCAGTGACAGGTACCCTCCAGTTGTGTCCTAGCTGGACCTGCCTTTCCCTGGCGGCTGCTGCTGTGGGGAGATGGCATGTTGGAGGGACCTTCTGTGCTCGCTCTGTCCCAGTGTTGGCCTCAGGCCCCTCTGGCTGCCTTGGTCTGCCGTCTGCTAAGCTCTCAGAGTGATTGCGGACAAGGGAAGCCCCAGGGACCCTAAAGCCCCCTCCTGCCACCATGCTCTCCGCCGCGCCCCACCCCCTTGCTGCTACATGGATGCTGTTGTGGTTGCAGTTTGTATATTAAAGGGTTTTTATATTAAATATGTTTGGTTGGTCTAAAAATAAAAAGCACTTGATGTAGACTACTTGTTTCCGCCTCTGGCGCAGGTGGGCTGAGACGGCTTCATCCATCTCTCCTGGTGACGTGGAGGCCTCCTGCCTCGTCCCCTTGCTCAGCTTCTGACTCTAGTCTTAACTGGTTGGATAGTTGTATTCTGGACTAAGGTTTGGGGAAGAGTTTTTCTTTTTCAAAACTTAAGCAACCCAGCTGTTCTGTAGATAGAGCATAAGCCGTGATTTTTCAGACTTTGACCTTGACCCACAGGAGAGAATTAACCTGTGTGCTCCAGGGACACACACGGAGCAACTCTTTTATTACATTTTACTTCACCTTACTTGGTAGCCTCACAGCCCAAAGGGGCGTGGCTTGGCTGGTGAACCTTTCCCCGTGATTCATGGAGGAGCCCCGACTCTCCCCTCCCTGACACTGTGGTGGACCTACGAAGGTGGGTGCAGACAGCTGCTGGTAGGGGCAGGTTGTAAGCCCATAGGCTGGTAGGCCTGAGCCCCGCTAGCCCCTCCGAGTCTAGGAGAGCTGCTCGTCCAGCCCCCTGCCCCTCTGGGCACCTCCCAGGCGGGCCCTCCTCTGCTTCTGTGGTTCTCAACTGGGGACAGTTTGGCCTGCACGGCACAGTGAACAACGTCTGGAGATGGTTTTGGTTTTCACAACTAGTGGAGGAGAGGAAGGTTCTGCTGGCGTCCAGTGGGTAGAGACCGGATGCTGCTACACACCCTACAGTGCACAAGACAGCCCCCCAGCAAAGGCTGACCCGCCGCAAATGTCAGCAGTGCGGCGGTGGGTGGGGAACTCCGCGCGTCCTCGCGCTGTGGGTGTACGGCACCCCGAAGGAAGGGGCATTTGCTACCTCGCTGCTTGGGGGCGGCAGCTCCCTTCGCATTGCCCGGACGGAAGGAATCCTCAGCCTGGCGGAGCCCCACGTTCCTCCTCCGTAAAACAGGAGCGACGATCCTAGTACCCAGGGGATCGGAACGTGGTGCGAAGCATCCGGGCGCGCCAGCTCTTAGGCTGGCGGGCGCCCAGCAGAGGGCGGGACTCCGAGCGCCCCCTCCCCAGTGCCCCTCGCTCCCGGGCCCAGCATCCCCCTGAAGCTCGGGCTGTGGCTGAGCGGAGACCCAGGAGCTGCCCCCCACCCCCGCCTGGACCCAGGCCTGCCGCCGCACTCCTGCGCCAGGCGTCGTGCATGACAACGGCCAGCGGCCCAGCGACCTCTGACCCGCGCGCCGGCCGCGCCCCTCCCCCGCTGGCAGGTGGACAGCGGCTGCGCCGGGGGGAGCACAGCGCCAACCTCGGCTGGCCGGCGGCCGCTGCCGCACTGAGCGGGGGCGGGGGACTGCGGCGCACACGGGGCGGGCGCCCGCCGGAACCGCCTCCTGGGCCTCAGAGCGCCGCGCGGCCGCCAGCCAGCCTCGGCCGCCCCGCCCGCCCGCGGCCGGGCCAGCAGGCTGCGCCTCCGCCCCGCCCTCTCACCCCGGGATTGACACCGAACGTTCTGCGGGGGGCGGGCCGGGCGGCGCGCCTCCGCCAATGGGCGGCCTCGCTGGGCGGGTCCTGGGCCCCTTCGGGAGCCTCGACCAATCAGGCGCGCCCGCCCGCCCAGCCGAGGCCTAGCCAGCGCGCGAGTGGCCGGGCGGCCGCGGCGCGCGTCACGGGGCCAAGACCCTATGGCGGCGCGGGAGGGTCCCGGAGGGCCAATGGGCGGCGGCGCGGCGCCGTCAGTCAGGGCGGCCTGGACCAATGAGCGGGGGGCTGCGGGGGCGTCACGGACAGCAGCAGCGGACTTGGGCTGAGGTTCCCGGGCGGGCGGGCGCGGAGAGACGCGGGAAGCAGGGGCTGGGCGGGGGTCGCGGCGCCGCAGCCAGCGCAGCCAACCCGAGCGGCCGCCGCCGCCGCCGCCGCCCAGCGCGCTCCGGGGCCGCCGGCCGCCGCCAGCACCCGCCGCGCCGCAGCTCCGGGACCGGCCCCGGCCGCCGCCGCCGCGATGGGCAACGCCGCCGCCGCCAAGAAGGGCAGCGAGCAGGAGAGCGGTGAGTGCCCGGGCCGTGACCCGGATCCCGGCCCCGCGCCGCCAGCCCCCGCCCTGTCCATCACCGCCTGGCCCCTCCCCCCCGCGCGCCCCCCTGTTTCTCTCCGCTTACCGCTCAGCGCCCCTTCCCCCTGCCTGTCCAAGGTTGGGGCCCAGGGCCCCCAGAAGACTCCTGTAGGGGCCCCTTCGCCAAAGGCCGCCCCCCACTGCAGAGATTGTGCCCCCCCACCCAGCTGTCACTGCCGACCATGGCACGTATGACCGCTGGGGCCCCACTTGGGGCCCTGTCACCACCCCACTCCCTCCTTTCCTGGCCCCTCTCCCCAGATTCTAATTCCCCCTCTTCCTCACTCACCTCTTCCGCAGATGGGACCCACTGCCAGACCCCGACGCAGGCTTCTGCCAGTCTAGGAGTCCTGTGGGGTCTGCCTCCACCCCACGGGGACCTTGGCCACTTGGTGACCACACCCCTGCCCCCTCCAGCCCCCGCTATCTTTCTCCTGCCCTTCCCCTCTTCACCTTCCCACAGCCCCCTTCTAAACCCCCTCTGGCCCCTTGAGCATTTCCCAGAGCCACCTCCAGCATTGTTTTTCCCTTCTCTGTCACTTGGCATGGGGGACAGGATCTTTCTGGGTCCCTCTGCCCCTCTCTCAGCCTTTCACTCTCTGTCACTCTGCTTCTTTGCTTGTGTTCCCTCCTCCAAGCGAGCGTCTGTCCCTGACTGGGGTAGCAGACTGTTTATGAACCTAGAGTACTGCTTCAGTGCTTCCAGAGCTGAGTTTGAGCCGATCTTGCTGGGATTCATTGCGTCCTCTGCCTGGTTGGGGTGGGGGGGCGACAGCAGAGCCCCCGCCCATCTCCTGCTGTGCACTGAGCTCTGGGCGCTTTGGAGGCCCCTCAATACATGGTGGTTTCACAACTGAGGCTCCGTCATGCACCCAGTCCCCTGGGCTTCTTCACCCGCTCCTGACTCAGGATGGAAAGTGGGAGATGAAGAGTGTGTTTTGCAACACTCATTCAGCTTGAGCCAGGATGGTGAGACAGGGGACTTGGGGGATGGCAGTCGGGGAGAGTAGCGGGTGACATCTAATGAGTTGCTTTGCCAGGCAACAAATAGATTCTGATCATTCCCAGGAATCAGTCAGAGAGAGGCCTGTTTTCCCCTCAGCCCCCAAATTATGTTGGCCTTTTCCAGTCCTCTGGAGAAAGATTCTGTATCTGGAAATGCCTTCAGAAATGGCCTTGAGCCCCTTCCTCAGTCCTCCAGCTCCTAAATTGTCATCACTCCAGGCCTAAAGCCAGACCTGGGCTAGGATCCCCTTCCTGTTACTTAGAAATAGTTGGAGCTGAAGAGGAAGCCACGTTCACATACGCTCTTCCCCATGACTGGTCACAGACCCCAGCATCTGAGTGTCCTGAGTGCTCGCTCCCAGAAGGCCCTGGGCGCAGAAGCCAGGGAACTTTATTCCCACCTGATTGAAATGGCAGAACTCAGAGTCGCCAAGCAGCCATGGGGAGGACTGACATGTCACCGATGGGCGGGGGACGGGGAGGCCAGTGCCTGTAGCTGAGCGCTTGATGACAGATGAGCAGGTGGGTAGTGACCAAAAAAGGTCTGAGCATGAGCTTGGAGGGGACTGGGCAGGGTGGCGGAAGGCCGGGCCCCCAGCAGGTGAGGCCACTGGGAGGTGGAAGGTAGAGACAGGCAGCTGGATATTGCAGTGGCTCAGCTGAAAGTTGGGGAGATGACATAGTCCTGGAAAACTTTCAAGGCGTATCAAACACATGCGGTGGGGGTTGGAGAGAAACACAGGGAAAAGGATCCCCAAGAAAAAGATCAGAGGCTCTGGAAGGAACCGCTGTTTGCTCAGAGTGCAGGCCAGAGCCACTCTTTATGGGACATCTAGGATGTGCCAGGCTGAATGGTCTCCATACCTCTGTCTGCTCAAATGATTTTCATAACGGGCTGTTACCTGAATTTTCCAAACGAACTCTCTTAGTGTGACATCCATGATGTCACAGAGGCAGGATTCACATCCAGATCTGCCTATCAGCCAACTTCCTGGACCCCAGAATTTCCCAACCCAGACATTCTCAAGCCACCTCCCCGATTTTTACTCTGCTCACTTATATTTTAATTTAAAATAAAAACTTTGACTCACTTTGTTCAGATGTAAACTTTGTTCTAAGCAGTAATACAAATGAAATCCTGAGCTTGCTGTGCCGGCTATATTCTGCCTGATACACGTTAAAATACAATGTAACTAGAAAAATGAAACATACCTAAAATCGTTTCATGCCCTGCCAACGGGACTCACATCACCTTTGGAAAATGCCCTAAGCTAGTCTTCCTTCCAGAGTCTTTCTTGCAGGGGCTCTCAGAGAAGGAAATAGGATGAGGAAGGAAGCCCCTCTTTACTTCAAAGCTCTGATTCTGTAAGGATGGAGTTACAAAATTTGCCCTCTTGTAAGTGGGGTGGGGCGTGAGGCGGGGGCAGTAGCCAGGCCAGCCTGCAGGGGGCACCTGAATTTCATCTGCCAGAGGCCAGCCCGACTGGGGTAAGGAAAATGCCTTAGGCATTTTAGTTAGTTAGGCATCCTGCAGCCCCCTGTGCTGCCGTCTCTGTGCCAGGGCGGGACAGCCCCTGCCTCCTTTGGAGAGGGTGGGGATCTAGAACAAGCCCTGGGGTGGCGTGGGGGGAAATCTGTACCCAGAGATGCCCAAGCTATTGGCAGGGGCCGGGGTAAGGATACTGAGAGGGGAGGGGGAAAAAGACCCAACCCCAGGCTCTCAGCAAGCTGGAGGCATTGAGAGAGGGCAGTGGCCCCAAGAGGCCCCGGGGACGGCCAAAGGCACCCCTGGGAGCTGGCCCCCGGGAGAAGGGGCAGGGCTGGTGAGAGGGAGCCCCCCGGAACCCCCCGCAGGCCACAGGGACAAGCGGATCCCAGCTCTGAGAGAGAAGTGCCCCCAAGAGGTCTCTGGATGGGAAGAATTGTCGCCCGCTGACATCCTGCAGAAGTTTCGGGGGGCAAACGGCAACCGCAGTGGCAGTTGTACGGGCAGTTGCCCGAGAGGGTCCTGCCGAGCCGGCTTTTCTCTTCGCGCAGTCAGGCCTACGGAAGCTCGAGGGGCCTATCTGGCCCTCCCCTGCAGCCACTGGCCCCCAGTGTGCGTTTCTCTTCCTGCCACCACCCCGTCATCTCCCTGGCTCCCCCTGTAGGCAGGGCTCTGGGGGTGGGCAGCCGAGCTGGTGCGGCAGGTCTCATGAGCCTTCCCAGCCACCGTAGTCCGGGAGCCTCGAGAAGACGACTGAGTGATGGCTTCCAACCCCAACGATGGTGAGGCTGAGGCCTGTTGCTATAGCAACTTCCCAGGCACTCTCTCCCCCTCGAGTCAGGGAGGGGCTGCAGTAGGGTTTGGGGAGCAGGTGGAGAAGAACCCGTGGACCCGTGGCTGACCCTGAACACCCCTGCCTTACTAACAGCCCTGGGCTGGGGGCCTGGGGAGGAGCGGGGGCCCGGGGGGCAATGGGCGGCCTAGTTCAGACCAGGGGGGATGGTCCACTCAGAGTGGGGCGGTCGGGTGGTCCAGCCCAGTGCTGCGGTTCAGCTCGCAGTGGGGGTTGGGCTATCTCAGTGCTGGAGTCCACGTGACGCTGGACGATGGTCCACTGCAGAATGGTGGTCCATCAGACTGGGGAGTGGTCCAGCTCAGCGACGGAGTCCATGCCATGCTGGACGCTGGTCCAGTACAGAATTGGGGTCCATCAGACTGGGGAGTGGTCCAGCTCAGCGACGGAGTCCATGCCATGCTGGACGCTGGTCCAGTACAGAATTGGGGTCCATCAGACTGGGGAGTGGTCCAGCTCAGCGACGGAGTCCATGCCATGCTGGACGCTGGTCCAGTACAGAATTGGGGTCCATCAGACTGGGGAGTGGTCCAGCTCAGCGACGGAGTCCATGCCATGCTGGACGCTGGTCCAGTACAGAATTGGGGTCCATCAGACTGGGGAGTGGTCCAGCTCAGCGACGGAGTCCATGCCATGCTGGACGCTGGTCCAGTACAGAATTGGGGTCCATCAGACTGGGGAGTGGTCCAGCTCAGCGACGGAGTCCATGCCATGCTGGACGCTGGTCCAGTACAGAATTGGGGTCCATCAGACTGGGGAGTGGTCCAGCTCAGCGACGGAGTCCATGCCATGCTGGACGCTGGTCCAGTACAGAATTGGGGTCCATCAGACTGGGGAGTAGTCCAGCTCAGCGATGGAGTCCAGCTCAGACTGGGGGATGGTCGAGCCCAGAGCAGGGGATCCAAGCTAGACTGGAGGGATGAACCAGCCTGAAGTAAGGGTCCCAGCCCACGCTCGGCACCCCTGCCCCAGAATTCCCAGGACGACCAGATTTTGGAGAGCAGAGGGTCCTGACATTGTTGTCTGGGGGGGTCTGACGCTGGGTTCCTGCCTCCTACTGCAGCTTGGGCTTTTCGAGGGGTTTTCTGGGATTCTCTCTGTGAGTCCAAATGGAAGCCGGACCAAAGCGGAGGCTGGCACCCCCGCTGTGGGAGACATAGGCAGGGCGGCAGGCTCCACAAGCCAACAACTGGCTGGATGTCCCTTCTTTGCCACTTCCTGTTGTCAGCAGGGGCCACAGGTGCCAGGCACCCTGGGAGAAGCTGCCACTGATCCTCCACTTCTTTGGGGATCTGGAAAGAAGGAGGAAGATGGTCAAAGCTGCCTCCCCCTCCCCCACCCCTGGGTTTAGCCTCTTGTTTCCGGTTTGGACTTTCATGGTGAGAGCAGAGCCAAGCGCAGGGCAAGGTTGACAGAGGCCAAGGACATCCCGGGATGCCGTTCCCCTCTCCGCCCCTGCACAGGAGCAAGACAAAGCCAGATGTACCCGTTTCTCTCTTGGGGTAGCAGGATTGGGGGGTCCAGGTTCAGAGAGGCCTCGGGGGAGGAGGTGGGGTGGCTCTCGCCCCCCCTGGCCTTTCCCTTCAGCTGCTCTTTGAGCTAATTAACGGAGCTCTGGGCCTCTTTAGCCCCCGGGGAGCCCCTGGCTGCTGCCTGGGCCTGAGCCTTAACCCCTTCCCCGCTGCCCAGGGGGCGCTGCCCTGGGTACGTCAGGGGCCATCCTCCAAGTCATGCGGCCCCACTGAGGAGGGCAGGGCCTGGCAGCCCCGGAGCAGTGAAGTGCCTGGAACGGGAAGTCAGCTTTAGCACCCCGCCTCCAGGGCAGGCAGGCCAGCTGAGAGGGACACCCTCTGAGAATCTTCCCACCACCTCCTGCCAAGGAGGGCCTCTGCAAACCTTGGCCAGCCCGGAGCAGGTACCTTTAAAGGCTTCCCTGGCAACCAGCTGCTCCTCCCTGTCCCCCGAGGCCCTCCCAGGAAGCCAGCTCAGAGGCTCTGCGTAGTCTTGGTACCCCTGTAAAAGCAAGGTTCCTGGGAGAGCCCAGGGCGGCCTGGGATGGATCCAGGGTCAGGCAGTGATTGGGGTGGGGACTCAGAGACCACCTTCCAGCTGTGGCTGCAGCTGCTCCTCTGGGCCCACCTGACTGTCCGTTTCCTGAGCTACCTGCGCCACGCCTTCTGGGCACCTAAGCCACAGCCAGCACTCTGAGCCTCCCTGGCCAGGGGCAGATGGGCCCAGATCACCCCATCCCACTCCACCCCCCACTGCACCCTCTGCCAGAAGAGGCAGGAAGCAGAGGTGAGTATGGAGGCTCTTGGCTGGGGTTCCCCCATCATTATCCCTCTTTGTCTTCTCGTTCCTCCTGGCGCTACCCTCCCCATGCCCCATCCCCAAATCTGGCAAGCTGATGGCACCAGAGGGGACATAGCCTGGGCCCTTCTACACTTTGAGAGGCCAGAGAAGGACTGTGCTAGGATCAGGGTGCTGTGGAGCCTTTCAGTGGGGTACCCAGAGGTGCAGGCCCCCCGAGTCTGGGAGAAGCAGGACATGGCAGTTCTCAGGGACCACTGAGAGCAAAAGGGGAGGCAGGCCCAGACCTTCTGGATTCCTCTGAGCTTGCTCCTCTCTGCCTTGAGCGAGGGAAGGTAGATCCCGTGGGATACCCTCCCCCGCCTTCATCCAGAATTCAGTGTGGACGTTCAGAGGTTCCCAAGGAAGGTGTTGTGTGTCAGGAAAGATTCTGCTGGTGAAAGCTTTGGATGTGGTGCAGCCCCTGGGCCCAGAGAGGTCTCAGACAGTGGGTGGCCCAGCTAGGCGCCAGCCTAGCACTCCTGGCCTTTCCTTGACTGCCCCTTCTCTGCCCGGTCACTCTTTGTGGGGCTTTCCTGCCCAGCGGTCTCTCCTCTGTCTGCCAGTCTTGTACCCTACAGAAGGCTCCTCTCTCCGAATGCTGAGGGAGAGCCTGGGGGACCAGTGGAGGGGTACCCATGAGGCCGTGTGGGATTCCCGGCACTGAGTACGGATGGGACAGGCAGATGACAGGCAACACCAAAGTACCATTGTGCAGAACCCCTCAGGGTAGCAACATCGCAGGGACATCAGGGGCTTGAGGACAGCTCTGTTTGTGGGCCACCCTGGTCACTGCGACCAGTCAGGAGCGAAGCAGTTAATCTCGTGGGCACTGGGGTCCAGCAGGCCACCTTGGGCCTGGTCAGTCTTCTCATCTGGACAGTGAGAGTGACAGCTGCCCCACCCATGAGGGGAGAGAGGAAGTCGAGATCTAGCACTCGGCACAGGGAGAGTCCCTGAACGGCAGGGGCCTGGCCTGGGGGCTGGTTATGGGCACAGCCGTCATGGAAGAACCCATCAGCCTTGAAGACCTGAGCGCACAGTGCACCCCTGTCTCTTAGCCCCCTCAATTTAGGAAAATACTTAAAAGCAAAATGAAAGGGTGGCGTTCCCATGGCCCTAACCCAGGGCCGCCCACTGTCCAGTCCCCTTCGCCAAGGTTAGCTCACTTGGTCCTCACCAGCACCTGGCCAGGTCGTCCCTGTCCTTTGCCCCGTTTTATAGATGAGGAAGACAGAGGCCCGCAGAGGCAAGATGAGACATGGTCGAACACTCAGGGCCCCAGCCAGGATCTGAACTCAGTCACGGCCCAGAGTGCTGGCCCTTGACTGCCCTGCCGCCTGCCCCTTGGCGCTGGCAGGAATGCCTGTTTTCCAGCCTCAGTTTCCTAGGGAAAAGGGATAAAAGGAAAGTTGGCGAGTGAAGCAAATGAGATAGAGGAGACAGAGCAGTGGGCCCCAGGGCTGCGGGCAGTCTTCAATGTTAGTGGGATGGGGATGCTCGCCTTGGGGTGCTGAGGGGGCCGTGGGGGGCGGGCATCGGGCGAGGCTGTCTTTGAACCAGCTCTAGAGTGAGGGCCCCTCCATTGGCAAAGGCGGGAACACAGCCAGCTAGGGGCCAAGGCAACAGCTGAGCCCCCCAAGGGCGCCTGCTACCCGAGCTCCAGAGGCCTCCCCCAGCCGGCCTCCCCCGAGAAAGGGCCGGAGGAGCAGCCAAATCCCGGGGCTATAAATACCTCAGCCGGCGGCGGCCCTGGCCCTGGAATGTCGGTCGGAACTGGGACAGGGGGGCGGGCTGGCTTGGGCGCCGCTCTCTGTCCCCCTGAGAGTGACCTCCAGGTCACCCTGTACCCCGTTTTGGATGGAGTTGCGGCTGGACCCCACCCCTCAGTAGTGAAGGGGGCCCAGGCTCCAGCCCAGAACAGGGCCCCCCAAGCTGCCCTCCGCTCAACCAGTGCCCCTGCAGGCACTGGGAGGTCAGTCCAGGTGAGACAGCGGCACCCCGCTTTCCACAGGTGGGCCTCTCCGCAGGATAGCCTGGGCCTGCCCTGAGGAGCTGGTTCTCCATCTAACTCTCCTCTCTTCCTTTCAGTGAAAGAGTTCTTAGCTAAAGCCAAAGAAGATTTTCTTAAAAAATGGGAAAATCCTGCTCAGGTAAGCCCCGCAGGTGCAGAGCCCTGGGAGGGGTGAGCTAATGGCCCCCCGTCCCCCAACTGCAGCCCTGTGACACGGCTAGGATTGTAGGGCCCTGTGGAAGGCTCCAGACCTGCCCCGTTTCCTCCCAAGACACCCATGGGGTCTCCTAGGCAGAGGCACCTGATTGCCCACTGCCAGGCTCCCACACCCCACTACCCCTTCCAGCCGGAGGCCCCTGCCCCCCACGCAGCTGCCAGGGCTCCTGGGCCCCTGGCCAGGCCGGATCTGGCCCCTGCCACCTGGCTGGAGGAATGCAACCTCGCCATCTTGTTTTTCCGCCCCCCCTCCTCCGCCATCCTTAGCCCCTCACCCCCCCTCCCCAGGGCCCCCTCTGCTGGTGGCCAATGGGACACCCCAGAGCTCAGCTGAGCAGGCTGGAGGGGCGGGTCCGTGAGTCTCTGCGCCCTCGGCCCACAGAATACAGCCCATTTGGATCAGTTTGAACGAATCAAGACCCTTGGCACGGGCTCCTTCGGGCGGGTGATGCTCGTGAAGCACAAGGAGACGGGGAACCACTTCGCCATGAAGATCCTCGACAAACAGAAGGTGAGCCCAGCCCAGCCACCCAGCCGGCCCCCAGGCCTTTGCCCGCGCTCTTCCCGCCGCCGGAGCACTCTCTCCACCATCCACTCACCAGCTCTTTCCTGAGCCCCTGTGACATGCCAGACGCAAGGGCCAGAAGGGCACCGTGCTGCCTTCACGCAGCTTCCCCTCCAGGTGGCCACCGTGCAGACCCAAGCCCCAGGACGCATGATCAGTACCTGCCTGTGGCGAGGCAGCCGGGAGCCCTCCTGGGGAGGTGGCGTTTACACACACCTTCCTTCTGCGAACCTGTCTGAGGTCCTACTGCGTGCCAGGCACTGCTCTAGCGCAGCTGTCCAGCAGAAATGTCACGCAAGCCACGCACGGTTTTAGATTTTCTAGACGCTCCATTAGGAAAGTAAAAATAAACAGGTGGAATTCATTTGAACAATATACTGTAATTAAGCCATTATATCTACAATGTTATTGTTTCAATGTATGTAACCAGTGTAAAAATGATGTTAATGAGACGTTCTATGTTCTTTTCCCTGTCCCAAGTCTTCGAAATCCAGCGTCTTTTATGCTTACCCTACATCTCATTTGGATGTTAAATTTTCAGTGAAAAGACAAAAAACAGTAGAGAAGTTGAAAAAGCATGCAGCCCAAGTTGTTCCAAACAGGCTTAAAAGTGGCCCAGTAACCGCATCAAGTATGAGTTTTTAAATTTTCACTTTAGATACTTAAAATTGTAAATTCGGCTCCCAGTCGCTCCACCCTGTTCCCAGCGCTCGGCAGTCGCCATGGCGAGCGTGACCGCTGCTGGACAGCGTGGGAGCCAGCCTGAGGGGTGTGGCTGGGAGCCGACCGAGGGCCCGGGCAGCGGCCTCATGTGGGCTCACTGCATGTGACCTTGGGCGAGTCACTTCCCCTCTCTGCGTCTGGGCTTCCAAACTGGTGTGCTCACAGTGGAGACCCCACAGTGCCCCTGTCACCAGGTGCTAGGCCCCTGCAGGGACCACTGAGGGCTGAGGAGGACTAAGCCCGGGGCTCAGGTAGGGGGGGGCTGCTCCAGAAGCAGGGAAGGGATATCCCACCCGCCACCCTTGGGCCTGCTCCCACTTGTCTGATCGGTCTCAGCTCGGCCGCCCCTTCCTACAGGAAGCCTGCTCTGACTACCCCTTCCCTCAGACCTCCCAGGTGCCTAATCTGGGCATCCTCGGGCCCCGAGCTTCCTCACCTGGCTCTCACCCCTCTGGGCGGACTCCTGTGTTCTTGTCCTGAACTGTGGGCCGTGGGGCACAGGCAGCCTCTGCCTTAGCACGTCCTCAGCACCCAGCCCTCAGGGCTCCGCAGGCCGTAGGCCCTGGACGGAAGCAACCCAGCCCCGCCTTGGAGGAGATGAGGACCCACTCACATGCCGTCTTCCCCGCCCCCCCCAACAGGTGGTGAAGCTGAAACAGATCGAGCACACCCTGAACGAAAAGCGCATCTTGCAAGCCGTCAACTTCCCGTTCCTCGTCAAACTCGAGTTCTCCTTCAAGGTGGGGACCCAGCGGCGGGGGGCCAGGGCCCCTGCTGGGCAGTGCAGCCTCTGGGTTCCCGGAGCCGAGGACAGCCAGCGGGCCCACTGACGGGAGGCCCCCGGGGGGATGTGGGGCAGGAGTCAGCTGGGGCTCTGGGGGACCAAGTTCAGCTCCTGAGCCAGCCTGTAGCTCCATAACCTTGGACAAGTCACCCGACCTGGACAGCATCCCTCGCAGGCAGCGCTCCCTCTACAGCAAGAGCCTGACACAGGGCCAGGGCCACAGCCTGCGTGCAAATCCCAGCTCGCGCTTCCTGGCCGTGTGACCCTGGCCAGGGACTTCACTGCCCTGAGCCTCAGTTTCCACATCTGTAAAATTGGGATCATAACAGCCCCCACCTGGTGGCGTTGCCATGACAGTTCCAAGTACACCGTGAGCACCCTGTGTGAGCTATTTTGGGTGCCATCCTAAGCCATCACCACGAGAACCCGGAAGGGCCACTGAGGGCCTGCGACATAAGAAGTCACAAGGGCCCTGCACTTGGTGGTTTAAGGCCTTGTGGCTGCTGTCTTGAAATTCATAATCATTTTCTTACTGAGGGGCCTCAAACTTATTTTGGTGGGGGGGGCCCCAAATTCTGTCGGCCATCCTGGTTCCCTTTTACAGATCACAAAACCGTGGCCCCAGCGGCCTTTCTTAAGACAGACACAGGCTGCCATGGAGTCCTCTCTCCAGCCCGGGCACGCTGGCCGGGTGCCTTGCACACCTCCAGCTGGCCCTCACGTTCACCCCCATAAGCAGGATGACAGCGTCCCTTCATCCTCAGGGGCATAAGGAAATGAGGCAGCAGCTCAGTGAGCCAAGAATGTTGTCACTTGATTTCTGAACACCTGGGGGCGAGGACCCCAGGCCTTTGACGGGGCCCAGGGCGTGGGGAGCGGGCCCCTGATCAGCAGCTGCTTCCCGCAGGACAACTCGAATCTGTACATGATCATGGAGTACGTGCCTGGCGGGGAGATGTTCTCACACCTGCGGCGGATCGGAAGGTTCAGGTGAGCCAGCTGCCCACCACCCTGGGCCTGGGGCTGGCCACAGGCGGCAGCTCATAACCAAGCCGTCTGGGGACTCGGAATGGCCTCTCCAGGTCCCTCTGTCTTCTTGTTCCCTGTGAGCTGAGGAATCCAGGCTGTCTCAACCACCATGACCCAAAGCAGGCACGGGGACACAGGTTTCACCATGTAGGCTGGCAATTTTATGCAGTTTTTTAAGTTTACGTTATTGTTTTATTTTACTTTTTTATATAGATATGCACTTTCCATACAATGAAATGCACAGGTCTTCAATGTTCTGTTCCGTGAACTTTGACATCCGCATACACTTGTTGTAACACCACCCAAAACACCATACAGAGCATTTCTGCCACCCCAGAAGAGCCCCTCAGTCGCCCTTCTTGCACACCACCAGCCGACAAAGGCCACTGTCCTCTCCGGCTTCAAACACCAAACATGTCTGGTCTGGGTCTGGACTCGATACAAGCAGAGTCACTGGTCGCCTGCCGTGGCGCCCCCTCCCGCTTCTCACAGCAGTCTGGCGGTCCAGCCTCGCCAGCGAGCTAGCTCCCGGTTGTCCTGGAGGTGGTGTTGGGGCGAGTCCAGTGTGTATCAGCCACACTCTGATTCTGTCCCTCTGTTGACGGACGTCTGGGCTCTCCCCCTTTCTCTGCTGGCGCATTTGAGATGGCTGAGCTGTACGCTTTCCTCCAGAGGCCAACACGCTGGACCAGTGGGGGCGGGCAGGTCCCACTGGGCGCAGCCACCCTGCTCACCCGGCCCCTCCCGCTTGTCCCACCAGTGAGCCCCATGCCCGCTTCTATGCGGCCCAGATCGTGCTGACCTTCGAGTACCTGCACTCGCTCGACCTCATCTACCGGGACCTGAAGCCGGAGAACCTGCTCATCGACCAGCACGGCTACATCCAGGTGCCCGGGGTGTGCGGGCAGCCGGCCGCCCGGCCCGAGACCCCTCTGGCCCGGCCAACTGCCCCTTCTTGTGCCCACAGGTGACAGACTTCGGTTTCGCCAAGCGCGTGAAAGGCCGCACCTGGACCTTGTGTGGGACCCCCGAGTACCTGGCCCCGGAAATCATCCTGAGCAAAGTAGGCACTCCCCCCGACCCCGCCTGCCGCACTGAGGCCCGGGCCCCGTCCCCCCGCCTCCCCTCACCCCGCGCCCCCTCTCCCTGTAGGGCTACAACAAGGCTGTGGACTGGTGGGCCCTGGGGGTTCTCATCTACGAGATGGCCGCTGGCTACCCACCCTTCTTTGCCGACCAGCCCATCCAGATCTACGAGAAGATTGTCTCCGGGAAGGTGAGGCCCGGATGCAGGGGCACAGCCCCTGGACAGACCCTTCCCTGCCTGTCCTCCTACCGCAGAGCTCTGCTCCTTGTCAGAACAGTCTAGAAGTTCATTAAGTCAGGCCAGGCAGTGAAGCCGGGCGCACCGGCCATGCTCACTGAGGCCAACGCCTTGCACAACCTCGCTGCCTCATCCTGGACCCCCTGGCAGAAATCTCAAGAGCTTCCAGAGCCCAGGCCTCAGCCGAGCCCCCACCCTGCCCAGTGGGGTTCTGCTTGTCCCCAGCTGTCCCCCTGGCCTGAGTTCCACAAGTTTCCCGGCAGAAAAGCGAATGTGGCAGGTTCCCAGGTGCCACCCCGGAGCCCACCTGGAGTACTCAGGGTGCACAGCCCGCACTTCCTTCCCAAATGCAGACCTCACCGTGAGGGCGCGGGCTGGGTGGCAGCTCCCCAGAGGCCCCTGCAGTGGCACCCGGCACTCAGGGGCACAGAGGGGACCTGTGGGGTCCGAGGTCACCCTGCAGCATCACTAAAGGGACCAAGAGCAGCCAGAACTCCACTTCTGCTCCCCCACCACACTCCGAGGACCCACGTCCCTTCCCCGGGCCCAGGAAATGGTGGGAGAGCTCCTGGCTCCAAGCCCCAGCTCTGCCACCCATTGGCTTTGCAGCCTCGGGCAAGTGCATTCACCCCTCTGAGCCTCCTCTCACCCATCTGGGAATTGGGGAGCCACCTGCCTGCCTCTCAGGGAGGCGGAGAGAAATCACCAGCTGCAAAGTAGGGTCACTAAAGAGGGCAAGATGAGGTGTTTGCCACCAGGCAAAAGAGAAATTGTCAGGAAAATGGCCCAAGTGGAAAAAAAAAGAAAAAGCCCTAGAAGGTTCCAAAAGGGAAGAGGAGAAGATGAACGTAACTCTTTTCTTTGTAGCATTTTACAGTTCCCACACACCCCCAGCAGTGTTGTCTCCCTCCTGCAACGCTGGGATGTCTGCCTCATGCCACAGAGGCAGGCGCTGGCCCAGAGAGGTCGGGGACCGTGGCCAAGGCCACACAGCGTGTACAAGGCGGAGCAATGCTGGGCACTGGCTCTCGGGCTGTGAGCACAGTGACTGCTCGCGTGCAAGGCTGCAGGCTTGGATGTGTGGGGAAGCTTCTGGGAGTGTTGAACCAAGCCTTAAAAAACAGAAGAGCCTTAGCTGTGGGGAGAGAAAGGGAAAGATGATCCTTTCTCTCCTAAGCATTAACACTGCATCCCCATGCCCCAGCAGAGCCACCTTGGGAAGCGGTGGCTGAGAGTGCAAGTTCTGGGGCCGGCCCAGTGGCGCAGAGGTTAAGTTCGCTCACTCCTCTTTGGCAGCCCGGGGTTCGCGGGTTCAGATCCCAGGTGCAGACTTAGCACCCCTCATCAAGCCATACTGTGGCAGCATCCCACATAAAATAGAGGAAGATGGCACAGATGTTAGCTCAGCAACAATCTTCCTCACACACACAAAAAAGAATGAAAGTTCTGGAGTCCAACAGACAAAATGGAGCCACACTGTCCTGCTCCTCTGCGTGACCTTGGCAAGCCCTTTAACTCTTGCGAGCCTCAGTTTATTGTCTAAAAAGGAGACCATCATAGTACTTACCTTAGAGCGGCACTTCTCAAAGTGGTCCCTCTCCAGCATCAGCATGGCCGAGAACTGGCTAGAAATGCAGGTTCTCAGGCCCCGCCCCAGCCTCCTGAGTCATAAATGCCAGCAGGGCTTATGGGGTTCCAACGCACACTCCAGCTTGGGGTCCTCTGCCCAACAGGACTATTGGATGGCAAAGGCACTGTTCTGGGCTCCCCAAGCTCCAGACCAGTCCCCACCTGTGTTACCCACTCCAGGTGCGGTTCCCGTCCCACTTCAGCTCTGACCTGAAGGACCTGCTGCGGAACCTCCTGCAGGTGGACCTCACCAAGCGCTTCGGGAACCTCAAGAATGGGGTTAATGACATCAAGAACCACAAGTGGTTTGCCACGACTGACTGGATCGCCATCTACCAGAGGAAGGTGGGTCCCCCTCCCCTCCCCTGGTGTGCAGATGGTTTTGGGGGGAGGCCAAGAGCCAGGGAGGGCTGCCAATGGGGAGATGGAAAGGGAGGAAGAATTTGAAAATAGGGCTCTGGGTTGATCTAAATGAGGCAGCTTAGAGCAGTGGATGTCTAGAAATAGGACTGTGGGGTCATTGCCACTCTGTGACCTTGGGCAGGAGATACACCTCTTTGGAAAGTAATTTCCCCATTGGTGAGTTGGCTGTAAGATCCTTGGGTTGTTAAGGTGTGTCCATACCCTAATGCTGAACTCAGGGTTGGGTCATAGTAGGTTACCTCAGGAATGTTAGGCCATTCACATTTATTGTTGTAACAGTGATTACGTTGGCTGCTGAGGTCTGAGTGGTTCTTGACCCCTCTCCAGGTGGAAGCTCCCTTCATACCAAAGTTTAAAGGCCCTGGGGACACGAGTAACTTTGACGACTATGAGGAGGAAGAGATCCGAGTCTCCATCAATGAGAAGTGTGGCAAGGAGTTCTCTGAGTTTTAGGGGTGTGCCTGTGCCCCTGTGGGTTTTCTTTCTTTCTTTCTTTTTTTTGGTCAGAGGGTGGGAGGGTGGGAGGGTGGGTTGAACAGCCAGAGGGCCCCAGAGTTCCTTGCATCTAATTTCACCCCCACCCCACCCTCCAGAGTAGGGGGAGCAGGAAGCCCAGATATTCGGAGGGACAGAAACACCAGCTGCTCCCCCTCACCCCCTTTGCCCTCCTAACCCCCCACCGCTTCTGCCTTCCCCCTTCCCCCTGGCCCCCAGCCCAGCCCAGCCCACCTCTGCCTGTTTTAAACGAGTTTCTCAATTCCAGTGAGACCAGGTCTTGCTGGTGTATCCAGGGACAGGGTGTGGAAAGAGGGGCCCAAACTTAACTCCGGCCCACCCCCCAACCTCAGGCGCCACTTCCTAAGGGCGAGTGAGCGAAAGTCCAGCCTTCCCTCCGGAGCAGTCCCGCCTGGGAAGGGGAGAGGTTTTAGTGACATGTTCAGTGGGCTGCTTGCTAGAATTTTTTTTAAAAAACATTTACAATCTTAAGTTCCACCAGTGCCTCCCTCCCTCCTTCCTCTACCCCCATCCTTTTCATGCCCCAAATCCATTTTAACACGGCTGGGAGGCAACTGAGTTTGTAAAGGAAGGAGCTGGGGTTCCAACCTCTGCCCCACGCTGCTAGTCCCCGCTGCCCGTCTGCCCCCCGGGGACCCCCGCCCAGGTTGGAAGGGGCTCAGCCCCTGTAGGAAGCCCCTGCCCATTTCTGCCCCGACGGACCTCTCTTCACCCTTGGGCTTCAGTACCCAGACGAAGCAGCTGCCCCCTCCCTGCCAAAGAGGAGCGGTCTCCAAAGACAGAGGGGCCGCGGGGGGCCGCTCCTCCCAGTAGCACCCCCAAACTCCTTAATTTTATTCTCAGCTAGATTTTAATGCCCCGCCTCCTCTCAACTCAGGAGGGAAGGCAACCCCGCCCCAAAAGGAGGCAAAGCCCCCTCCCCCTCCTGGCCCGGGTTCAAGGCCAGGGTTGCCGGGGAGGGGCTGCCTGTTTCATTCACCCAGCAGCCTCTGCCCCCCATCCTGGGCGCTCCTCCTCTGCCTGGCTGTCAGCTGTCCATCCCCCCCGCCCCATTTGTGCTTTTTTTCTCTTAACAGAAAAGTGGGGAGCCGCTGGGGAGCCACCCCATCCCTCCGCATATTTGTTCTCTCATAACTTCTCCCCATCCCAGGGGGAGCTCTCAGGCCGGGGTGGGGCCCCGGGTGGGCGCGGGAGCGATTCAACCTGTGTGCTGCGAAGGACGCGACTTCCTCTTGAAGAGTGTGCTGTTGTAAACATATTTGAAAACTATTACCAATAAAGTTTTGTTTAAAAAAAAGAGTCTCTGGTGTTCGCGACTTCGGTCACCCACCCACACACCCCCAGGGGCTTGGAAAGGGAATTTCGGACCCCAGCGTCCAGGCTGATCAGGACCCGGCTGATCCTTCTAAAACCTGGTTTAGCTGGAATTCCGCCAATTCCCCCCGCCCCGCAGGAGAAGGGGGCGCCAAGCTGCCCTTTGACCCCAGGTTCGGGCCCCCACATCTGCGGCGCGCCCCCTCTGCGTCCAGCCCCCAGCCGAGAGGGCGCTCTGGGGAGACCCTGGGGCCGGCGCGCCGGGAGGCCGAGCGGCGGCGGGGGCGGGCGTGGCAGGGGGGGCAAGGCGTGGGGGAGACGGTGCGCGCCCCCCACCCGCATCCTCGGCGCAGAGTGCGGAGCCCAGCGCGCCCGAGAGGCGCGGGGGCGGCGGCGGTCCAAGGGTCCCCGCGGCGCCCGGCGAGCGCGGCGGCCCGGCCCGCGGGCGGCGAGTTCCCGGTAAGTGCGGTCCCGAGAGCGGAGCGCGCCGGGGAGGCGTGGAGAGGGGGGCTGGGCGCCGGGGACGTCTGGGTCCCGCGCCCAATGGCTGGAGGGCGGCCGAGCGCCGCCTGCCCGCCCCCTCTCCCCTCCCCCCGGCGTTCCCCTCCCCCTCCCCCGCCCGCCGCTTTCCCCCGCCCCCGCCCCGGCGCCAACTCCGCGGCGCCTCCTTAAAAAGCGCGCGGGAGTTGTAAGGGGGGGCCGGAGCGAGCCGGAGTGAGCGAGAGCGCAGGGTAAAGGGGCGGGCGGGGGGCCCGGGCTCCACCTTAAAAGCGGGCGCGTGGGGGTGGGAGGGAGGAAGGCGGGCGGCGGGGAGGAGGGAGGGAGGGAAGGAAGGGGGGCCGGAGTGTCCCGGGCGCAGGGCGCGCGTGCGGCGGCGGCGGCGGCGGGGAGGGGCCGGCCGCGCCGCGCTCCCCTCCTCCCTCCTCGCATCCCCGGCCCCGCGCGCGCCCAGCAGAAGCGGGTCTGTGTGTGCGTGCGTGCGAGTGAGTGAGTGTGTGCATATTTTTTTCTCTCTTTTCTTTCTCTCACTGTTTTTTCTCTCTCTCTCTCTCTCGCTCTTTTTTTTTTTTTTTTTTTGCGAAGAAACAGCAGCGCCGCCGCCGCTCCACCGAGGCGCTGCGCCCCCCGGGGGGGGGAGGCGGAGGAGGCGGGCAGCGGCGGAGGGAGGGGAGCCGGGGAGGGGGGCGCCGCGCTGGGAGGGAGGCAGCGCGCACGGTGCAGCCGGGCCGGGCGGGAGGCATGGCGGGGCCCCCGGCCCTACCCCCGCCGGAGACGGCGGCGGCCGCCACCACGGCGGCCGCTGCCTCGTCGTCCGCTGCTTCCCCCCACTACCAAGAGTGGATCCTGGACACCATCGACTCGCTGCGCTCGCGCAAGGCGCGGCCGGACCTGGAGCGCATCTGCCGGATGGTGCGGCGGCGGCACGGCCCGGAGCCGGAGCGCACGCGCGCCGAGCTCGAGAAACTGATCCAGCAGCGCGCCGTGCTCCGGGTCAGCTACAAGGGGAGCATCTCGTACCGCAACGCGGCGCGCGTCCAGCCGCCCCGGCGCGGAGCCACCCCGCCGGCCCGCCGCGCGCCCCCCGCGGGGCCCCGCCGCCGCCGCCGCCGCTGCGCCGCCGCCCACGCCGCCCCGCCGCCACCGCCCGCGCCCGTCGCCGCCGCCGCCCCGGCCCGGGCGCCCCGCGCGGCTGCCGCTGCCGCCGCCACAGCGCCCCCCTCGCCCGGCCCCGCGCAGCCGGGCCCCGCGCGCAGCGGGCCGCGCCCCTGGCCGCGCCGCCGCCCGCGCCCGGCGCTCCTCCGGCGGTGGCGCCCCGGCCGGCCCGCGCCGCGCCCCCCGCCCGCCGTCGCCGCCCGGGAGCCGCCGCTGCCGCCGCCGCCACAGCCGCCGGCGCCGCCACAGCAGCAGCAGCAGCCGCCGCCGCCGCCGCCGCAGCCACAGCAGCCGCCGGAGGGGGGCGCGGCGCGGGCCGGCGGCCCGGCGCGGCCCGTGAGCCTGCGGGAAGTCGTGCGCTACCTCGGAGGCAGCGGCGGCGCCGGCGGCCGCCTGACCCGCGGCCGCGTGCAGGGGCTGCTGGAGGAGGAGGCGGCGGCGCGGGGCCGCCCGGAGCGCACTCGGCTCGGAGCGCTCGCGCTGCCCCGCGGGGACAGGCCCGGACGGGCGCCGCCGGCCGCCAGCGCCCGCGCGTCGCGGAGCAAGGTGAGCGCGTCGCGGAGGGGGCGCCGCGCGGTGGGCAGGTGCGGGCGAAGTTGGTGGCGGGGGCGCGAGTCCCGGAGGACCCGGGCGGCGGGCGGCCCGGGCTTTGCGCGTCTCTTCTGCGGGCTCAGCGCCTGGTGACCTTGGCAAGTGTCTGAATCTGCCGAACCTCAGTTTCCTCCGCGGTGGAATGTGATTTAATAACAGTAGCGACCCCTTGGGGTTGTTGAGCGAGTTTAGTGAGATTTGGCTGCTGAGGGCTTTATGAACACAGAGTCTGGCACGAAGTGACTGCGTAAAAGTTAGTCGGGGCTGGTATAAAAGGTGGCCGTTAGGCGCAGTACTTGGTCCTTGATCCCAGAGACTGGGCTCAAGGCCAAAGAAGTACTAACCTTGCGCGCCTCTCTCCCTGGCATCAGAGAGGTGGGGAAGAGCGAGTGCTTGAGAAGGAAGAGGAGGAAGATGATGATGAAGATGAAGATGATGAAGACGATGTGTCTGAGGGCTCTGAGGTGCCCGAGGGTGACCGTCCCGCAGGTGCCCAGCACCACCAGCTTAATGGCGAGCGGGGCCCTCAGAGCGCCAAGGAGAGGGTCAAGGAGTGGACACCCTGCGGACCCCACCAGGGCCAGGATGAAGGCAGGGGGCCGGCACCAGGCAGTGGCACCCGCCAGGTGTTCTCCATGGCAGCCATGAATAAGGAAGGAGGATCAGGTAAGGACTCCTCTGGGTGGGAGGGGTCCTGGGGAGGAGGAAGCCAGCCCCCAAGACAAAGGTCCAAAAATAGGCTTTTTCTTTCTTAGCCTCTGCTGCCACTGGGCCAGACTCCCCATCTCCTGTGCCTTTGCCCCCAGGAAAACCAGCCCTACCTGGGGCCGATGGGACCCCCTTTGGCTGTCCGTAAGTTGGGGTGTTGGAGACACGGGGTGCTGCCCAGGTGTGTGTAACAGACCTGGAAGAGCATCGCTGCTCACCCGTGCCCTCTGTTCTGCCACAGTTCTGGGCGCAAGGAGAAGCCGGCTGACCCCGTGGAGTGGACAGTGATGGACGTGGTAGAGTACTTCACCGAGGCCGGCTTCCCAGAGCAGGCAACAGCCTTCCAAGAGCAGGTGGGTCCCACACCTCGACATGGCCCCTCATCCCAGGGCTTCAGTGGGGGTCTGCTCTGACCCCACTCTCTTGCTCTCTGTCTCTCTTCCCCCTCAGGAAATCGATGGCAAGTCCTTGCTGCTCATGCAGCGCACAGACGTGCTGACGGGCCTGTCTATCCGCCTCGGGCCGGCCCTGAAGATCTACGAGCACCACATCAAGGTGCTGCAGCAAGGCCACTTTGAGGATGACGACCCCGATGGCTTTCTAGGCTGAGGGCCCAGCCTGGCCCCCGCCCCGACCCATTCCAGCCCCCCTTCTCACTGCAGACCCCAAGTCTAGGAGCTGGACGGGGACACCTTCGGCCCTCGTAACAGATTCCAGTGAGGGGGCATTCCTCCCTACACATCTCGTCCCTGTGTCTCCCCGAACACACACATCAGGCCCCCAGCACATCCCGCACTCCAGGATAGGGGAGTGTGGGGTGGGACAGGGCCTGCGCATTTTACCCCAGGAGGCCAACCCTCTCCCCAGCCTAGGACATTTTTGGAAAAAAAAAAAAGGGGGGGGGGGTGCTTCCCATCTTCCTAGATCCTCCTCAGTTCAGCCAGATGTTTCCTATATAAATGTTTTTTTCTGCCTGTTCATTTTGGTGAGGGTCTTTCCTCCCTCCCCCACCACCCATACCCCTCCCCAGTCTGCCCCTGGCCTCCAGCCCCCTGGGAGTGGCTGGGGTGGGGTCCCTGGCCCTAACCTACCCTTTCTCTTTCTTTCTGTTGGTTGTCGCTCCAGCTGGCTGTATTGCTTTTTAATATTGCACCGAAAGTTTTTTAAATAAAGTTTTAAAAAAAAGAAAAGAAAAAAGTGCCACGGAGTCCATTTTATGAATGAGGGGAGGGGCATTGAAGACCCACATCAGCCTCGAGGGAGAGTGTGGGGCCAGGACTGAATGGCCTGAGGAGGGAGACAGGCCAGTGATGGGGCTGCCTGGCGGCCATTCCAGGAAGGCAGGGGTATTTGCTTGGAGCGGTCATTCTCCCATGCCCAGAACAGTGCCCAGGCACACAGTAGGTGCTCAAATGTTTGTGGAGTGACTAGCTGTTAACTCTGGGCGTTACAAGCATTTTCTTGGTTGTTCTCTCCGCTGCCTCATATGAGGCTGAGAGCTCACCAAAACCCACATTACAGACGAGGCAACGCTCAGAACAGCAAAGATGCTTGCTCAGGGTCACACAGGGCGGGGTCTGACACCTGTCTGAATTCTTTACCCAGAGTCTTTAAGCATAATTAACCTATTTGGCTACATAACTACATAGGCTACAAAGAATCCTGTCTACCTCTGTTGGGGGCAGGGGTCTGTTCTGTGCCGTGGTCGGGTCTCCAGGCCTCAGGTCCTCTCCATAAAAGGAACAGAAGGGATTGGACCATCAGATGAGATCATGGGATGGGAAATTTTTCCAAGATTTTTATTAGTGGTAGTAGGAACAGCTATTACATCACAAGTGCCTACTAAGTTCTAAGGCAGTTTCTCAACTCCGTTAGAGGTTTTTAGAAAATACACTGATTCCGGGGCCCGGGGGTCCTCCCTTTCTAGACCTATGCCCCCGGGTTTGTATGCGCGGTGGAGACCCCTCCTCCCTAGCAAACCGCCTGGGAGAGAGAAAGGCGCCGGCGCCCGGGCCGCACCCCGAGGACAGGGCCGCGCCAGCGCCGGCCCAGGTCGCCGCGCTGGGACGCGGCCCTCTCGCCAGGTTCCGGGAGCGCGCGTGTGCACAGGGCCCCGCGGCGCGCAGCGCGGACCGGAGCGGCGGTCCCCCACCCCCGCCGCGTGTTGAAATTCAAACGACGCGAACTCGCTCCGTGCGGCGCGACGGCCGGCAGAGAGGTCGAGGCAGAGGCGAGCTGGAGGGGGCCGCGCTCCCAGCCCAGGAGAGTCCGACGTTCCCGGGGCGGGGTCGAACCCGCGCCGACGCGAGCGGCGGAGGCTTAAGAGAGCTCTGGTCCCCGCCTACCAATGGCTACGGAGCAGTGGTTCGTGGGACCGCTGCCCCCGGGCCCCGGGGAGACGCAGTCCCCTGACGACTTGGAATCTGGGGCACAGCCCTGCGGAGATCTCTCGTGGTCCACGCCCCCTGGCCGACCTGGGGACCCACCCGAGGCGGAGCCCCAGGACCAGGACGTCCAGGGGCAGCTGCCCGAGGCCTCTACTTCCATGCCCTACCCCGAGCCTCTGGCCCCAGGCCCCGGGCACCCACCTCCTCGCCTGCCCTTAGACACCATGTTCAGCCCCATCACCGAACAGCTGCGCTACCTGCTCAAGAAGGCGGACGATTTCCAGAGCTACTTGCTCTACAGGTGATGCAGGCTGGGGTCCTAGGTCCCCACGGACAGGGAGACAGAGGAGAGGGTGACAGGCTAGGCGGCACACCCTGGGGTTGCAAACTCAAAAGCATTAGGAGCTGCAGACAGCAAATGAAGCTAGCTGATTAAGAATCCAATTTGGAAGAGTGGTAAGGACTGTGTGGAATTTGGGGTCGGGGAGCACCTGTGGTTATGTGGGCTCCCGGGGTTGCCACATCCCTAGGACTTTCCTCCCAGTCTTGAATTGCTTGGCTGAGGTTTTGAACCCTGGGTGAGCTAAACGAAAGCTGTCTGAGCCAGACTTGGCCCGTGGGCCACCAGTTTGAGATCCTAATGGATAATGTGATTCCCAGGCCAGGCAAGGGGAGAGACTGAGTCCCACGTTCCAGTGTCCATTGGGAGGGATCCCCTGGGGGGCTGTGGAAACCCGAGATGCCTGGGCTCCACCCTGCGTGGAGGTCTGAGTCAAAGGCCATCGTGGGACACAGGTGGCAGCATTTTAACGTGTCCCAAATGACAGTGATGCAGGTGGTCTAGAAGATGCTCTGACAAAGGCCTGGCACGAAGGGGTCTTGTAATGCGGGGGGACCCCAGGCAAAGGCCCCGTTCTCCCTTCAGCAGAGACCGGGTGCAGAAGGACCAGCTGGCGAAGGCCATGCCCACCTTCCTGCACATATGTGAGCCCTACTTCCTGTACCTAGAGGCGGCCGCACGCAGCGTGCCCCCCATCTATGGAGCCCTGCAGGAGCTGCTCCGCAAGGGGGTGCGTGCAGCCGATTTCCTAGACCCCAGGCCCCCATCTCCATCCCTCGGACCTGGCGCCTGGCTGGGGGTGGGGACGGGGTGCTCCTGGCAGGCCAACTCGTCTCATTATGTGCCTCTTTGCAGCTGTTGGAGATCTCCCAACAGCTGACCCTTCGCCTGGAACAGGTGGTCCTCATGTACGCTTCCTTTGGGTTCGTGGGCCTGGAGGAGACTGACCCCCTGAGGTAAAAGGGAGGAGACTGGGCTGGGAGCCGGAGTCCGGGTCCACCCTCATCACCCCTCTCCCATCTCCCGCCAGCATCTCTTGTTTCTTCTGCGGAAGGTTTGCCATCAGCCCTTCCCACGAGGTGTCCATCTTCAGATACTGTGCCCCAGCCGCCTACACTGCCAGCCGCTTCCCCAGATACCTGTATAAGAAGATGCGCTGGAACCTGGAAACCACCCCTGAGCCCAGCGTCCAGGGGCAAGACTCCTACGTGGATTAGTGAGTCCCCTTACCGGAATCTAAGTCCTCCCCTCTCTATGCAGAATGTCAGTATGGGCCTCTGAACCACCGCCACCAGCAAAGCATGGAACGGCAAGCAGGAAACCAAGGACCTTTGAAAGGCCATCCTCATCTTTAAAAAAAAATTCATCCTTCCATCAAAATAAAAGTCCTCATCTTAAAAGTAGGCTGGCAGTTAGAGAAAGTCCTCAGTGTTGGGTCACATCCCTACCTGAGACCCTGAGGGCAACTTCTGATGAGTTTCCAGCTCCCCTCCAAAATTAAAGCCCTCGGAAACTGCTTGCTCTTCATCGCTGTCCCTCCCCCTCCCAGCTACTTCCTGTGCTATCGGGACACCTGGGAAGACACAGGCTCAAGTCCGGCCAATTCGTGCCCCCAGATCCAGAAGCTGTGGTCCATTGGCCGATGGGTGCCGCTCGAGCCCGCCGAGGATGACCTGTATTCATGGTAGGAGCTAGGGCCGGGGCAAGGGGGGCTTGGGCTCTGGAGGGAGGGCCAGAACCCCACCAAAGAGCATCTACCTCCCCAACACTGTTTCCCTTGGTAATAACGATAGCATTTTATTGTGCCCTGAAAGTGCTTTATGCAGACTCATGTAACAATCCATTAGGGTCTATACTCCCAGCCCCATTTTACAAAGAAAGAAACAGGTGCTCAGAGAGGTTAAGTTACCTGCCCAAGGACACACAGCTAGCTGAATGGCTGACCAGGTCAGGGCAAGAGTTGTTCAGCCTCCCAGAGCCATTACCCTCTAGGTTTCTCATCAACAAGGAAACCACTTTCCCTCAGGGTTTTTCCCACCCCCAGCTGAAACAAAGCCTCTTTGAGCCACAGCTTCTCACTCGAGGGGAGGGGCTCCCGAGAAGCAGGGGGCGCTCACGGCCCGGCCTGTCTGTCCCCGGCCCCAGGATCTTGTGCCCGCAGCCGCTTGGGGACTACCAGCAGCTGCTGACCATCGGCTTCGAGGAACCGTCGCACACGCTGGCCACCGACCTGCTGGTGCAGATGCTCACGGGCCAGGCGGGCCCGGCACGGCCCCCGAGAGCAGCCGGGCCCGCGGCGTGGGCCGCGCAGGGGCCTTGAACCCGGAGAGCGAGCGGGGAAAGCTGGCGCCTGACAGCTGCAAACTCCTGGAGAGGGGCGGGGGCCCTCCCTCGCTCTGCTGGTGCAGCTCGGCCTCGCCTTCCCCGGGCCGGGCTGAGCTGGGCCGGGCCGAGCTGGGCGGTGCGCTCCAGGGCCGGTCGGGCCGGGGGCCCTGCGCGCCGACTCACCAGTTTTGTGTTAAATAAAGAAAGAGGTCACAGTCTCCGCGTCCGCTCGGAGCGCCGCGCCCCTCCCCTGGGGGCGGGGAGGCCCCGCCCACTCGCGCGGCCTTCTGGGAAATGTAGTCTTTGGCTACAAAACCTAGCCCGCCCACAGGCGGACGGGAGCTCAGGGCATGCGCAGAGGCGCACATGAAGCAAAAAGGGAAGTAGCGGCTCCTGTCAACAACCGGAACCCAGCAAACCGCGGGTTTCGGGGAGCCGGGAAATTCAACGCCCACTGGGGGAAGGGACCCCCCCCTCCTCGGAGCCACGCCCACGCTCATGTATTAACCCGGAAATGATTTCTTTGTACCGTAAAAGACTACATTTCCCGGCGTGCTTCAGGAAAGGGTCTGAGATCAGTTTCCTTGGGGCGGAGGTCAGATCTTTTTACAGCTTTGGAGTGGTGGAGTGGGCAGGGGCGGGCCGCAGGCGCGGTGGGGGAGCACTCCAACTTTGGATCGCTGGGCCTCACCGCAGCCTTGGACTGGAGAGGAGACCGGGGTTGAGGGAGGTGCACCCACCTGCCCCGCGCTGCAGCGAGCAGGTGGCGGGGCCTGGGCCCGCCTGGGTCCTTCTGAGTGCAGCTGGTCCGTTGCGACGGGAAGGGTGTCCTTCCTGACCCGGGTGTCATCCCCTTTAACCCAAGGGGTGCCTTTTGGTTCCCCCCCAGCATTTTCAGCGTCGGAGGAGAGACCTAGAAGCCTGACTCTATGCTTTCTGGCAAAGCACTCGCTTACCTGGTAGTCCCCGGCACGTAGGAGTGTCATCAATCGGGAGTGGACAGCAAACCCTTAGGGGGGAGGGGCCTCTGGTGACAATCTCTGACTGCGTCACGGGTGAGTTAGTCCACAGCCAGGTCGGAGTGCCTCCAAGGGATGCTGAAGCGCCCTAATTCTGATTAGAGGTAGCCCCTGTGAGTCCCCACACACACACCCGCTATGAGATGCTTAACAGTAGCCTAGTCCTGCAGAAATTTAAATGGAGCCACAAATGCGAGTCATGTGTAATTTCAAACTTTCCAGTAACCCCATTCGAAATAAGGTCAGATTGATTTTAGTGATACTTTTATTCAACTCAGTATATCCAAAATATTATTTCAATATATGATCAATGTAAGAAATTAACATTTTGCATTTGGGGGGGTGCTGGTCTTTGAAATCTCTCGTGCCTTTTACACTTCCCGTGCATTTCAATTCCAATGAGCCACACGCAGCTTCAGACTGTCTCCCTTAAGACAAATTCACAGGCCACTTAAGACTAAAAGTTTCCTGTGGGTGGTGACCCTACTGAGAGAAGAAGGAAACAGGCTTGATTTCCTGGGTCCTGTTGCTCAGAAACTGTCTACTACTCGTGAGTCTCCAACTTTAGCGTGCCTCAGAATCACGTGGAGGGTTTGATCCTGAAGTCTGGGATGAGCCCAAGAATGCGTGTTTCCAACACGCTCCCAAGCGCTGCTGCTGCAGGGAGAACTGCTGGCCGAGCCTCCATCTGGGTCCTCAAACCTGGCTCCCAGTCCCAAGCACCTGAGGAGCTTTTTTTTTTTAGGAAGATTAGCCCTGAGCTAACATCTGCTGCCAATCCTCCTCTTTTTGCTGAAGAAGACTGGCCCTGAGCTAACATCTGTGCCCATCTTCCTCTACTTTATATGTGGGATGCCTACCACAGCATGGCTTGCCAAGCGGTGCCATGTCTGCACCCAGGATCCGAACCCGTGAACCCCAGGCCGCCAAGAATCGGAACGTGCGCACCTAACCGCTGCGCCACCGGGCCGGCCCCTGGGGAGCTTTACAAAGTATTGATGCCAGACCCCTGTCGGATTCTGACTTACTTGGCATAAGGGTGCCTCAGGTGATTTTAATTTGTAGGAAAGTTCGAGAATCCAGGCCTACCCTCACAAACTCCTGTCAACTCTAGTCCTTAGTTCTCAGCTCCCCTGCTGGGAATTACCACCAGGCTCTGGGCGTTTCCGTTTCCCACCTGGGCAGCCCTAGCTCTTTCCTGCCTTCTCTGCAGACCACCCGGGGTCGCAGCCAAGCACGTGGTCAGTGTGTGGCTGATGGGGTCAGGGGTTGGGTCCTTGGTCCGCAATACTGTTGTGAGCATTCTTTCATCCTTCCTTAGCCATTTGTTGTCCCCACGAAGGGTGGAGCCTGTTGCTGGAGCCCGGGCATACTGAGTTGGACAAATGGAGGAGTTTAACGGTGATTCTAAAACCTTCCTGGGTCTCGGCCTTTTCTGGGTCTCTGTGCACCTCTAAGAAGCTGGTGCACCCGAACCGCAGACCATAACTGCACAGACACGCTTTTTCAGCTTGGGGTGTTCACAGACCCTCTTGAATCCCATCCAGGAGGGCCTTGAACCCCTTGTCTTGGGACAGAGAGAAATTCAGGAGGGCTTGCCAGTTGACAGCCACAGCCCTATGGCAAACGGGTGTTGCTTGCTGCCCCCTCCTGCCCACCCCCCCCACCCCCGATTTTAAAAGTTTTCTCAATAGTCACAATAAACTAAAGTTCAGTAGATTTCTCTTTTCAAGGCTGGTTTTCCAGCTGCTTTTGCAAAGCAGAAGCTCCTGACCACCGGGCGCACTCCTCGGTGGCACCGCCGACAGGAACCCCCCAGGCCCTGGAGACAGCCATGCCTTCCGGCTCCGTCTCTAAGGAGCGCCTGCGGCCGGAGACCGGGAGGGTCTTGCCCGCGGGGCAGGTGGTAAAGGGCCCAGCGTGCCCTACGATGCAGCCTGCAGCCTCCCCACCCGCTTCCTGGTAGCTCTTGTTTACGTCCCCAGGGCAGGAACCACCCCTTGTCCCCTCCGTCCCGCCAGCGCCCAGAAATGTCGACGACTTCGCGGGGGGGCCGGTCCGGACGCCGCAGCTCGCGCCAGCGCCGCCAGGGGGCGCCAGGGGCCAGGCCGGGCCAGGGAGCTGCAGCCCCGGGACCGCGCGCCCAGGGCGCGTTCCGCATTCCGCGCGCTGGCCGGCGCCCTGCGCCTTCCGCGAGCCTGACTGCGCCGCCCCCGCCCCCGACGAAAAGGACACGGAAGAAAACAGCCCGCGCTGCCCAGAAACAAGGGGCTTTATTGGGGAGTAGGGGTAGCGAGGCCGTGACCCCGGCCTCCGACGGTCAGGGCCGGCGGGAGGGGCTGGTTTGCCTTACGGTCAGGTGAAGGGCTGGACAGTCTCTCCGGCCGGATTGTGGCGGTGGTGTGTCCCAGGGGGAGTGACAGTTTTAGAGACGAGACTGGTCAGTTTCACAAAGTCTAGTTCAAGGATGGGCTGGTCCGTGTCATCTTCGCCGGCGCAGACCGCTGGCCCCTCCCTCCAGGCCTTCGGCCCATCCCGAGGGCACTCCCGGGCGCCCCTGCCCGGGCCCTCTAACGGCCATGCTCCGTCCGGCCGGGGGTCCGAGCCGGCTCGAACCTCAAGGCTTCCGCTCCTCCTGGGGAGAGGGGGCCAGACGGAAGGCCGGCCTCAGGGACCCGCGCACCGGGGTGACACCAAGGAGCAGGGGCAGTTTGGGCCCCAAGACCATCGCCTCTTCGTCACTGGTCTGCGCCCGTTGCTTCGTGTCCTAGCCCAGAGTGACCTCCCAGGGGCTCCTCCCCCAGCCCAGCATTCTGGCGCCCGGCGTTGGGGGGCGGGGGGCGGAGCGACAAGAGCCTGAGGCACGAGGGGAAAGGGGCTCCCACCTGCTCCAGGCCGTTCTCCGAGGCCTTTCTGCGCGGAGGCCAGATCACCGCCAGCTTTCCATCACCCCTGCTCGCTGCGGGGAAGGCGCGCTCAGCCAGCTGCCCCTCCTCTCACCAGCTGGAGGAGGCCGGGACAAGGAGGCCGGCCGCGCCCCTTAAACACACACAGACGTCCACCCCCCCTCCTCCTCATGGAGGCCTCCATTCCGAGGGGGGAGGGAGGTGAGCCCAGAGCGGGGAGGTAGGAACCAGAAAGTTCAGAGAGGGGATCCAGGTGCGCCAGAACCCGGGGAGGGTGCCCTAGAACCCGACAAAGACGTCCGGAGTCCTCCTCCCTCCCCACCATGAGCCTGGGTGGGGGTGGATCGGAGAGTCGACCACTCCGAGTCGGGGGTGGAGCACAGGGACGGGCAGCCCCGAAGGGATGGGCAGGAACGGAGAGTCGAGAAGGGGTGGGAGCCAAGAGGGCGTACCCTGAGAATCAGAGCGCCGGAAAAGGGGCCACTGGAGTCGGGTAGTCGGTGAGGGTGGCTGGAGCCCCGGGGTCCCGGGCGCCGGGCCGCCCGTGACTTACCTGTGAGGCTGGGCGCCGGGTCCCGGAACTCGGCGGTGCCGTAGACGCTGAGCCGCTGGCGCTGCAGCTCTCGCTCGCGCTCCTGCACCTCGCGCACCTCCTGCTCCAGCAGGGACGGCGCGAGGGGCGAGGGCGCGCGGGCCAGCACCGGGCACCGGCCCTGCGCCGCCGAGTGCGGCCGGCTTCCGGCCTCCGGCAGCTGCTGCAGGCCCGCGCCGCCCTCCGCCGCTGGCGAGGAGCCGCCGCCGCCGGCGGCCTCGAAGAAGCGCTTGAGCTCGCCCAGCGGCGGCGGCGGCGGCTGCCGGGCGCGCGGCTCCGGGCCCGGGGGGAGCGCCAGCGCCGCCTGCCGGTGAGCCTCCCGCTCGATGTCCCGCTGCATCTGCGCGCCCGCCCGCGCGCGCTCCACGGCGCGCGGAAGCGCGGGGCCGGGGCCCGGCAGGCTGAGCACCGGCCGCACGCGCAGCTCCACGAGTTCGCGGCGCGCACGGCCGGGGCTCAGGCCTCGGCTCCGGCGCAGACTCTCCTCGCGTTCGCAGCTGCGGCGGATTTCGCGCTCGATGGGCGTCTCCATGAGCGGCTCCATGAGCGGCTCCTCTGAGGACTGTTGGGGGATCTCGGGGCGCAATGGAAAATGCTGATGGGCTTCCGAGTCTGACTCTGAGGAGGAGGTCTCGGGACCCTGAAGGGGACACCGCTCCAGGATCGCGGCGCTTCGGGCTTCAGACGGCCGGGGGTCGCGGCTGCCTGGCCCAGGCCTCTCCACGCCTCCAGCGGCGGCCGGCCCGGGGCGCGCCGCGTCCTGCCCCGCTGATGGCCCAAGGACTTCGCTCTCTCGCTCAGGGGTTTCCGCGCCCTGCTCTGCGGAGGGCGCAGAGATTTCGCCGCCCGGCCTGGGGACCTCGGCGTCTCGCTCTGCGGCAGGCCCTGGGACTTCGCTGTCAGACCCGGGGGGCTCGAGGCCCCGAGCTTCAGACGACCCCAGGGCTCCGCTCTCCGGCTCGGGGCCTTGGGGTCCAGGGTTGGGAGCAGCTCGGAAGCCTTAGTTCCCAGCGCCGGAGTTCTGATGCCCAGAGCTGGGACACGGTGCTCTGCGCGGCACCTGTGGCCGCAGTCACCGCCCGCGGGTTCCAGGGCGTCGCCTGCACCGGCCGCTTCTCTGACCCGCCTCTGGCCTCCAAGAACAACCCCCGGGGGCAGGGCCGGGCACCGCCCCCTGCACCTGCCGGGAGGACTCCGGCCCCGCCCTGGCCCCGCCCTCGGGGCGGGGGCGCCCAGGCGAGGCACCGGATTTCGGCCACTGGCGCGCCCCAGGTCAGCTCAGGGCACCAGACTTCTTGGAAGAGCGCTTCCCTAGACCCGGCCAGCTACCTGGGGGGCCAGTCTGGGTGCCGTGTCCACTCACTGGGCGCCACCTGGGTACCTTTTCGGCCCCACGCCCCCGGCATTGCCTGGAGGCTTGGTCCCAGCTGCGCGCCGGGCTGGCCCTCTGGTGGGGATGTCCCCCGAAGCCATCTTTCCGAGGCCTTGCCAGCCCCGCCCAGCCGGCGGGTAGCGACGCCCCGGGCCTCTGGGCTGTCCCCTACACGTCCCACCCCTGCCGCGCACAGCTCTGGCTGGAGGGGGAGCCAGGGGCCGCCTTAGTCTCCCTCTCTGCGCCTGGGCTCGGCGGGGCTCCCAGCGGGACGGCCGGGCCCGCGCCAAGCCTGGAGGCGGCCTCCCCCAGCCCTGCGGGAAATGTCTGCGAGGCGTCTGCGGCCAAACTCGCTCCCGCTTCAGGGAAGAGGGAGGGACGGCCGCAGCGAGCCCAGGGCCGGCCGAGCGGCTGCGGCTGAAAGGCGGTCACCTTGAGCCCCGGCAGCCGGGAAGGCCCGGAAAGGAATTTCGGCCTGGGGAGAGCGGCTCCCTGGAGCTGGGGCCAGGGCGCGCGTGCAAGGGCAGGATCCACGCCCCCACGCCGGCCACCCACCCCCGCGGACATCTTCCACTCCCAGGCTCGCTGCAAATCTACTCTCCCGCCCCTCTCCCACCATATGGGGTTCCCGGGAGTTATCTAGAGAAAGTGGGGAGCCCCCATAATCCAACTATCTGATCACTCCTTCACCCAACTCTCTGCCACCCCTGGAGACCCCCTCCCCTTACCCCCTCACATTCTCCTCTCTCCTGGAGCCCGGTCTCAAGCTGCTGCCCTCCTCCCTCTGGCCATCTGACCTCCCTCCTCCCTCTGACTCCATTAGCCTAATTGGAATCAGGCCCACCTGGGTCCGATCCCACTCCTAACCTGAGCCAGGCCCCGCCTTCTCCAAGGCTCCGTGTCCTTGTCTGTGAAATGGGGGTCGCAGAACCCAGTCCCTTGGGAGGTGGTGAGGATTAAAACTATACTTGTGGAAAGAGTGGTCTCTCCCCTTTATCAGTTCCCCCGGGTGCTAACCCCGGGGGTGCGCTGTGCCTCCACTGGCTCCTCACACCTTTGTAAATCGACTCTTTCTTAAGTTCTCGTCAATGACTCAGTACCAGAACACCCTGATGAATTCCAGTCTCACACTCTAAACGCCGTCTCTGTGCGGTGTCTCCCAAGCGTGCATCCCCACTCTGACTTCTCCCCTGGGTTCTGGGCTCATATCCGACAGGCTCCCGTCTAATAGACACGTCAACCTGGACACCTCCAAAACGGAACTCGCAGTTCAGTCTTGTATGTATGTACGTGCCATTCGCCCATTCTGTTTCTCATGCCCCAGACCTGGGAGTCAGCCTCAGTTTCTCTCCCTCAGCGCCTCTCCAATCCACCAGGAAATTGAATTGCTCTTGGATCCGTTGGCTTTGCCTCCGAAACGTATTCTGGATTCGTCCACTTGTCTCCACCCTCATCCCAGCCACTCTGCCACCCTCCAAGGGCTACCCACCAAACTTAGAAGAAAAAGCCAAACTCCCCACCTGGCCCAGAAGGCCCTGCCCACTTCTCAGACCTCCTCTTCAGACACTCTCTCCCTCTATCACTCCTCTGTTACAGCCTCCTGCTTCCCGCAAACCCCCAACTGCATTCCCACCTCAGGGCCTTTGCACTGCCTTCATTCTGCTGGGAATGACTCAGCACAGGCTGGTTTCTGCTGTTCAGGTTGTGGCTCAAACATCACTTCTTCAGGGAAGTGGCCTCTGATCACCCAGGCAGTGTCCCTCCCAGCCCTCCTCCATAACCCTGTTATTTTCTGTAACTCACCCACTACGTGAATTTCCACCAGTCTCCTTTATTTCTTTGTTGTATATCATTTGTCTCCCCCTGGGGCCAGAAAGCGAGCTGCATTCCAACATTTTCTGTCTGTCACACCTACCTCTATACCCAACTCCCCCATGCCTAGAACAGTGCGTGACACATGACAGGTACTTAGGAATCATTAGTTGACGATCCTTACTAGATGCCTACGCCCATGCTGGGAACAGAGAAACCAACGTGACTTGGAGGTTGCAGCTGAGTTTGAGAGACAGACACGATTATAAACATAACGACCTTGCCTTGGTGTAGAGCCCAGGATGAGAGCATCTAAGTATTTAACAGTTATAAAGTCAAATGACAAGCAATTAAATAAAATATATTCTCTTCTCCAAAAGGTGGAAACAACCCAAATTTCCATCAACGGATGAACAGATAAACACAAAGTGGTCCATCCGTACAATGGAATAGTATTCAGCCGTAAAAAGGAATGAAGCTCTGATTCATGCTACACCGTGGATGGACTGCACAGAAGTTATGCTGAGTGAAAGATGCGAGAGACAAAGGCCACATGTTGTGGCTCCACTGATATGAAATGGCCGGAGTAGGTCAATCTATAGTGGTCAGTCTAACTATGGCCTGGGGGTGAGTTCAGCACACTCCACTTCAGCAGCCTGGGCTCAGTTCCTGGGCATGGACCTACACACTCATCAGCTGCCATGCTGTGGCAGTGACCCACATACAAAACAGGAAGATTGGCATGGATGTTAGCTCAGGGCAAATCTTCCTCAGCAAAAGAAAAAAGAGAGAGAGAAAAAAAATAGGTAAATCTTTAGAGACAGAAGCAGATTGATAGTTGCCAGGGCCTGGGGGGAGATGGAATGGAGAGTGACTGCTTAACGGGTATGGAATTTCCTTTTGGAGTGATGAGAATGTTCTGGAATTAGATAGTGGTGATGGTTGTACCACGTTGTGAATGTACTAAATACCACTCACTAATGGTAAATTCTGTTATGTGTATTTTACTACAATTGAAAACTAATGGAAAAATATGTTCTCTCTTCCTATCACGGCAGAACGACCTAGACGGCCAGGTTCAATTATAAATGTTTTGAATCCCTAGGAGCTTGTCCTCGAATGTGGGACACAGGTAAACCCTGGCCCTTAGCGCAGGCCTTTTCCTTCCCACCCCCAACTAGGTCCTGCACAGCGAGGAGCCTCGAGCACACCCCCAGGGACCCCGGCCCACATGGCCAAGCTCCTTCCTCACCCTCCTGCCTGCAGCTGCCCTTGGCCCATCCTCCCTAGCGGCAGAATCCACGCTCAGGAGGCCACGCGGGCCTTGTCTGTGAGCTCAGGACGGTTTGGGGAGGGAGCTCTGGGGCCCCACATGCCCTGACCAGGATCTGGAAGAGGGCGGGAGGCTTTAGGTGGGCATTTTCCCATTTCACAAAAGGGGAAACTGAGGCCCAGAAACCTGGGGCAAGTTGCCCCCAGTTATCCAGAGGCCAGGCTTCCCAGTTGCCATGGTGCTCAGCCTCTGTTCTCCAGAATCCTCGAGCCTCAGAGCCAGGGTCCGAGAAGGGAGGGCAGTCGTCCCGTATGTGTAATGTGCAATGATGCTGGGATGTGGGTGACCCTTGCTAAGCAGCTGGACTTGAGGTGTCTGGGGTGCCCTTCTCTGGAGGGGGCTGGCCCCACTCTCGCCCACATGCCCGACCACGCGTGTGAGAGCCTGTTTGTGGGAGGCAGCCAAGTGCGCAAGGAGGCCAGGGGCTGGTAAATAATTTATCAGGACAGCTGATAGGACCTCCCCAGAACTGCCCGCCAACCTTCAACCCCCTCGGCCGGCGGCCGTGCGCCTCCCGCCTCCCAGCCCAAACCAGCTGGACCAGCTCTCCCAGTGCCTGCCCCGCAGCCCCCCCTCCCTCCAGCCAAGTCACAGCCTCCAGGGCACCTTCAGAGGGCAGGTGGTGGGTCCTGAAGCTGGAGACCAGATCGTGGGCTTCTGGGCAGCGATGGCCCTGCAAAGCCAGGTGTGGTCTCCGGCCACACCCATGTAAGTGTCCAGCGTCAGGGGGGCCGGTGGGCAGGGCCTGGGAGGGGCTCATGGGGGACGTTGGCCTTTCCACAGGGTGAAAGCCCCAGTGGGCCTCTCCTGAGGGGACTGGGGGAGTGGACAGAGGCCAGCAGCCGACCCCAGAGGCCCTTCAATGCCCCCCTCCCCAGGGAGGCTGGTGGAAGATGGGGGCCCCCACCTCCTTCCTTTTTGTGGGTTTTCCACTGGCAGGCTTCAAGCCTGAAGTCCAGCCTGGGGGTGGGGTAGGGAATGGCAGGGTCCCTCGCTCCCACACTCTGCCTTGAGGGTGACCCCCCACCCGTGTCCAGGGCAGGAGGAAATGCTTGCCATCCAACAGGAAAAGGTCACAGCTCCCAAATTGAGACATTTGAGGGCACAATTGAAAGGGTCGCCTGCTTCTCAAGATGGCACCAGCTGCTCCCAGCGGCGGCCATGAACCACAGCGGCGAGTGCAGCTCCTGCGCAGATAGAGATAAGCAGTGTCGAGTAGGGTGTGCGGAGCAGTGTCACATTCGAGCCAGGAGTGAGGGCCTTTTGGGGTGAGAGGGTGGCTGGAGGCCTGAGAGGTCCGTGAAGAGTTTTGGGAAGGGCCCCCCCCTTAGGGACCCCAATTCAGTTCCTCACTCTTTTGGGTCCCCTGTTGCATTATTCACCAACTACAAACCTGGTTGCCTAGCAACGGGAACCTGATCCCCCCCAGAAGGAAGAGGCAGGGAGATTGCATCTTGGGGGGGAAAGGAAGAGGGGGGCTCTGGCCCTCCCCCGGGGTCACCCTGTTAGCAGGGGATCCGGGCTTCCTACGGGATACCCTGCGGAGCAGGACTCAACCCCTGCCCCAGCTGAAACCAGGGACCCCCTGGCTGCCAAGACGAGGGTGCCTGGACCCCCCTCCTCCCCAGTGTTCTGAGAGCCTTGAGTTCCAATCGTGACTCGGTGACCCCAGAGGAGTCCTTTCGCCATTTCTCAGAGCCTCAGTTTCCCCATGCGTAAAATGGGGACAGTAGCACTGCGGGCCTCCCAGGATCGCTGCGAGGAGGAAGCGAGTTAGGATAAGTGAAGCGTTTGCCGGCGTCCCGCCTCGGTGCGCGCTGAGGCTCACGGCTGGCTGAGTTTGTTCTCAGCTGGAATGTCAACTCAGCAGAGATGGACGGCCGCATCTCAAGATCGGGGCGGCGGCGGCTGCGGGAGCCGGCGGAAGGCCCCGGGCACTTAGGACGCTATATATAGTCAGCGCTAAAGACGCGCTGGCTCCCTGCCTTCCGCGCGGCCTGGGACGAGCCCGGAGGCCCCGCCAGGGCCTGGCCACAGGCTCCTGCTCGCCGGCAGGGTTAGTGCTCGAGTGAATAAGTGCGTGAGGGCCCGCTCTGTGCCCGCCCGCCCAGGGCGAGGGGTCAGGACCCAGGCGGAGAGACCCGCCCTTCCAGACGCTGGCCTGGGAAGCCCAGCGCGCAGATGGTGCTCAGCACGCGTCAGTGATGGCAGGTTGATGTGACGACCACTGTCCCCTAAGTGCCCTGCGGGACCACAGTCAGCCTCCAGCTTCCATGGGAGCCCCGAGGGGCGGGGGCAGCCTTATAGGCTGGGCAGGGGGGGTCCTGGGATGCTGCAAGGACAATGACGGGGGAACTCAGGTTAAATTTTAAACTGCCAAACTCCTCCCCCTCTCCTCCCCCTCAAGGTCCAGCGCTAGGCAGCTGGTGACCTGGTGACCTGGTGACCCTTGCCCTCAAGGAGGGGGTTTGGCAGGTGGAGAAGGCAGCTCCTGAGTTACCATGGCAATGGCATGTGTCCGTGGTGAGGTGGACACTTCTCTTCCCGGACTCTCTCACTCTCTAGCGCTTAAGGGATCCTGGCTAGGAGGCGAGGTCCAGAGAGGGTGTGGAATTGGAAAGAGACACACAGCGTATTAGGGGCCTGGCAGGATTCGAGAGTTTCTGTAGGACAGATGGGAATGGTTATTACGGTTAACCATAAACATTATTGATCCTGGGAATTGCTAGAGGTGCTATTAATAATAAACTGTGCTCCTGTTTGGGGGGACACTATGTCCTGCGTTTTTCCTGTATGGGTACTTCCCTGCAAGTTGAAAGGCAAGCGATCCCCGCCCATGTTACAGATGGGGAAACTGAGGCTCAGAGAGGCCGTGTCAGGGCTGGGAAGGGCTCTAGCTCAACCTGTGCGGTCTCTGCTCTCTCCTCCTCACAGGACCCTGCCCTCTGCCCCGACCACTCCCAGGGGCCGGGGAAATAGAGGAAAATGCTGGGCTTTGTTTGGTTTCCAAGCAGCTCAGGGATCTTGGCTCAGAGAGGGGCGTTCAAGGGGTGGGCCTGCTGTGGGGTGGGGCCCCAGAGGACCCCACTGCAGCTCCTGCCCTCTCCCCACAGGCCCATGGCCGAGAGCTCCCTCTACCGGCAGCGGCTAGAGGTCATCGCCGTAAGTGACGCCCTCTGCCCGGTGCCCTGGGCGCCCCAGCCCTGCCCCGGGCCGCTTTGCTTCCTGCCTCCCTCCCATTCTGGGGAGCTGGCCTAACGCCGTGAAGGGCACAGGATGCAGGACCTTAGCTCCAGCCCCGCCTCAGTCCTCAGGCCTATGGGCTCCCTAGTTCCTCTGTCTGGTCACTGCCACCCCCAGAATGGTGAGGCTGCGCACCCCGCGCTCCCAGTATCTGCATCACCCAATGCCCCGTTCTTGAACTGCGGTCTCCCAAACACCCCATGTCTGGACCCCACCTCTCAGGCTCCCATCTAACCCACCCCCACCTCTCTGACCCCCATCTCTGGAACCCCACCTCTCTGCACCTCATTTTTACACTCCAGTCTCTCCGGAACCCCCATCCTTCTGACCCCCATATCTTTACTCCATCTCTCTCAGCCTCCATCTCACTAACTCCCATCTCTGATCCTTCATCTCTGCACCCCCAGCTCTCTGGACCCCAACTCTACACCCCCGCGACTGCACCTCCCTTCCAGACCCCCATCTCACTAGTACCCTCCTTTTGATCCCTATACCTGGACCCCCATCTCTCTGAACCCCATCTCTCCTCACTCCACATCTCCGACCCCCCAGCTCTGTGCCCCCTCCAGATCCCCATTCCAAGGCCCCACCTCCCACCCCATCCACAGACCCCCGTCTGCGCTAGCCAGGCCTGCGCAGCATCCCGGGCGCAGCCGGCCCCGCCCGCCCCGCTGCTGAGTCAGCGCCTCCGCGGCCCCCTCCCCGCCGGCCCCGCCCGGCGCGCAGATCCGGGAGCCCCGGGAGCCCCGCGGGCCCGGCGGGGTTGGGGGAGAGGCGGCCCCACCCGGCCCGCGCGCAGCTCCGGCCCTCTGTGCGCAGGAGAAGCGGCGGCTGCAGGAGGAGATCCGCTCGGCGCGCCGCGAGCTGGAGGAGGAGAAACTCCGCGTGGAGCGGCTCAAGGTGCAGCGGGCGGGGCGCTGCCAGCTCGGGCAGGGCAGTGGCGGGTCGGTTCGGGGACCGCAGGAGCTTCTGTCTCATTATGGAGGCACGGCTGGGGGCATGGGTCCCAGCTTTGGGGCAAGCGTCCTTCCCAGCTTGGGAGAGGGCTGGAGGTGGTGAGGAGACATTTGCTCCACCTTCGGGGAGAGTACGGGGACAGTGGGGGAGTTTGTCCAGCTTTTGGGGAGGCCCCACAGGGACATTGGTTTCACCTCTGGGGTTGTCTGTCCCAGCCTGGAAGGGCTGGCTGTTGACGGCTGTCTTTTCAGCCTGGGAAAGCTATGGGATGGTAATGGCGTGTCTGTCTCACCTGGCCGTGTTGGGTGGCAATGAGGGCGTGTTTCCCAGCCCGAGGGAGAAATGTCTGTCCCCTCTGGGTGGTTGTGGGGTAATAAGAAATCTGCCCAGTCTGGGGGTGGGGAGGGGACCCTACGCGGGGTAGGGGGGGTCCCTATGGCCAACCGATGCTCCCTTCCCGTGCCCAGAGGAAGTCTCTCCGGGAGCGCTGGCTAATGGATGGGGCGGCTGAGGGGCCAGAGCGGCCGGAGGACCCCACCTCGCCGGACCCCCAGTCGCCGGAGAGCCAGGCTCAGGCCCATATCCAACACCTGGAAGACAGCTTGTTCACGTGAGTGGGGCCCCTGCCTGCCTGCTTTGCCCCAGCCTAGCTAGGCCAGGACCCCAGGCCCACTCTGGGGGGTGGCAGATTGAGACTGGGGCGGGGGGGTCCACGGGGCCTGGGGCCCGGCTCCCAGCAGCCCTCTCTCTTCCCCAGGCTCCAGTCCCAGCTACAGCTGCTGCAAAGTGCGTCCACAGGTGCCCAGCACAAGCCCTCAGGCAGGCCCACCTGGCGCAGACAGGTGAGGAGGGCAGGGAGGGCGGGAGGGGGCGTGGCCAGCAGGCCCCAAGCAGGACTTCTCCGTGGGCAGTTTAGAGAACCACCAGGTCCTCCATGATTTCTTTGCTCTGTGGTCTTGGGCAAGTCACTCTCCTGGCCCAAGCCTCGGTTCCCCCATCTTTGGAACAGGCATGTGGTGGGAACATGGGCAGGATGCTCATGGCACTCGGCCCCAAAGTGAGGAGATGGTCGCCATGAGATGCTCGCATGATCTGAGGCCCCGTGTGGGCTTTGTGTTTTGGGGTCTTGTTTTGGTAACACCTTGATTAAGATGTAATCCACATGCCTGACAACATGCAGGCTTTTGAAAACCAGGACACTTGACATTAAAATCTGGCTCTCCGGGTTGTCCTTGGAGTCCAAAGATCTGGCAACACTGCGCCCGGCCCCAGTGAGGTGCGAGTTTGCCACAGTCCCCACCTCTCCCTGCTGTATTACCTGGGCTCCCAGGTGCCTGTCTCAGGGCAGAGAGGGAAAGGAAACCTGTTAATTGGCATGGGAAGCGCTTGTCGGGTTTTTGGTATAAGCTAGAGTTGCACAAGGCAGGATTCCTGGCCCAGGGGCACTCACAGTCTGGATGATGAGATGGGGTACCAAGGGTCTGTGAGGAGGAGCCCTGAGCACAGAGGAAGAACCTGTATGAGGTTGGGGAGTCAGGGAAGGCTTCCTGGAGGCGGTGACATCTATGCTGAATCTGAGTGGGAACCAGGCAAGGGAAACAGCCTGTGCAAAGGCCTGAAGGCTGGGAAGAGGAAGATCAGACCAGAGAACCATGTCCCCGAGTCCATCTTCCTCTCGTGCCCTCCACTCCAGCCACACTGACCCTCTTTTCTCTTCCTTGAACTTGTCCAGTTCATTGAAGCCCCAGGGCGTTTGCACTTGCTGTCCCTTCTGCCTGGAATGCCCTTCCCCCACCTCTTGAATCCAGGCTGCCTCTTCTCATTCTTCAGGTCTCTGTTCAATGTCACCTCCTCCTCCAGGAGGGCCTCCTGCACCTTATTTCTAGAGGAGGGACCCCATCGCCTCCCAGGCACGCCCTAGCCCCTCATCCTGCCTTTTTTCCTCCATAGCCCTTCTCGCCTGTGACATTATATATTTTCTAGTGTCGATGTTTATCACCCGCCTCCCCAGCTGGAATGTAAGTTTCAACAGTGAAAGGCTTCAGGCATCCCTTGGCCACAGGAACCTCAGTGGCTGGCAGAGTAGGTCCCCAGTGCAGCGGAACTGGCTGCATGGACACAGGACTGATTAAGCCCCTACTGTGTGCATGGCTCGGGGGAGCAGAGGGCGATAACACAGGCAAGGAAGGCTGAGGCGCAGTAGAGGTTTGGTGCTCAGGGTAATGGGGAGCCATTGAGGTGTTGGAGCAGGAGAGGGGCCCTGGCACATAGTGGGGCTGCAGGTGGAGATGTGGGCTGCCTGACTTCCTCTTTGCCATCCCTGCAGGGGCACCGTCCTCTCTCCCAGCCCCCGGTGGAGGCGAGCCCTGCAGGTGGGTGTTTGTGCCCCTAGGTCTGGGGATCCCAAGAGGAGGGCCTGAGTCTGGGTGGCCTGAATCTCACCCTGTCGCCCCTCTCTCCTCCCCTGACTCCCCAAGGCTGCACTGACCTGGACAAGAGAGCCTCCCTCCCAGCCGGCCTGCTGGGCACAGCCCCAGAGTCCCCCTTGGAGCCTGGAGATGAGGCAGTGAGGGCTGCGCCCGCCCTGAGGCCACTCCCCGCAGCCGCAGCAGCCTCCTCTGAAGCTAATGGGCCCTGCAGTGGCCCCAGCCCCGCTCCAGAGCAGGAGGCGAGTCAGGGGCAGGGGGTGTCCCAGGGCCGGGCAGGCCAGGCCAAAGGAGGGGGCATGGTGGAGGTGGTGTGGGAGGGGCTGAGGGCCACGGAGGACAGTGCCACGGGGGCCACGGGCCCCGAGCTGGAGGCCAAGGTGGAGGTGATGGTGCTGGAGGCTATCGCGGACAGGCAGGAGGCCAGCTGCCCGGAGCGCCCGTCCTGGGCGAAGGAGGACAGGGATGTTGTGGAGGTGGTCTGGGAAGGGGTGGGGGGCACGGAGGGCAGTGAGTCAGAGGCCACGAGGGTGGTGGCCAGGGGCCCGGAATCTGCCAGGCTCCAGGAGGGAGGAGAGGGAGTGGCTTCTGAAGAGGGAGGAGGGGCTCCCCTGGGCAGCCCTGACAGCAACGGGCAGGGGGGCTGTGGAGCAGAGGAGGCATCCTTCATCTGGGTGGAGAGGGTGACCCTCAGCGAGGAGTGGGAGGAGCTGGTGGTGGAGGGGCGGGAGGGGGGGGCTGAGGGGCCACCGGGGGGGGAGGGGGGGCGAGGGGAGGACACCTGGGAGGCAGAGGCAAGCCGGGCAGAGGGCTCTGTGGGTGCCAGTGAGAGAAAGGCAGGCGCAGAGCAGGAAAGAGCAGAGACGTCTCCAGTGGGAGAGAGGAAAGGCAGATGGGAGTCCTTGGAGCTGGAGGGGAGAGGAGGCGAGGAGGAGCCGGGTGCAGACAGGGAAGGAGGTGAGGAGCCACTGTCAGCAGAAAGAAAGGAAGCTGAGGGGCCTCTGAGGGCAGAGAGGGGAAGAGGTGAGGAGCCCTCGGGAGGAGAGCAGAAAGGAGGTGAGGGAGAGCTGGAGGCAGGGGAGGAGGTGAAGGAGCCACTGGGAGCAGAACGACAAGGAAGCGAGGGATCTTTGGGAGCAGAGAAGGAAAGAGGTGAGGAAAAGCTAGGGGCGGAGGAGGAGGCTGAGGGGCCATTGGGAGCAGAGCGGAAAGGAGCCGGAGAAACTCGAGGGGCGACTGGAGGCCCGCTGGGGACGGAGCGACGCGGAAGTGAGGGGTCTCGGAAGGAAGAGGAGCCACTGGAGGCAGAGAAGGCGCCGGGGGTCGAGGAGGGTCTGAGTCTAGAAGAGCAGAGAGAGCCCGGGGCAGGAGGGGAAGGCCAGGTGGAGGAGGCGAGCGAGGCGGGCGCTCCCCCGGCGGCTGAGGAGGACGGCCCACAGCCCCCGGAGAAGCAGGAGGGCTCCTTGGAGGAGGAAACCGCAAGGCCCCAAACACCTGCGGAGGGCCGGGGACCCTCCGGGGACGCCACCCTGCTCCTGGCAGAGACCCCGGCTCCGGAGCAGCCCGCCGAGTGCCAGCCCCTGCTTCAGGCGGAGGGGCCCACCGCCCGCCCTGCGCCGGCCCGCACGCCCAGGCCGCCTGCCCCTCTGGAGGCCGAAGAGGCAAGCGGCCCGAAGCAGAAGACATGCCAGTGCTGTGCAGTCATGTGAGCCTGCCCGCCAGCTGCCCTCACAGCTACCTCGGTGTTCTGGCGTCCAGCAGAAGGTCCCAGGGCAGACAGGGCACCGCAGGACTGGCCTGGCCCCTGGGAGCCTGCCAGCCCACACGTCACCTCCACCTGAGCTTCAGGAGAACTCGCGGCCGCCTGTGGCCCTGGCCCCTCTGCGATGGAGCCTTTATACTTGAAAATAAAATGTCAGAGCATTCGGCCGGTGTGAACGTGTGTGTGGGTGTGCGCATGTGTGCACACGTGTGCTGTTGGCACAGAATGACCTCGCCATCTCCTGGTGGCAAACTGAGGACTGAATTCTGCTAGCATCACAGACGACGAGTCAGTGAGAGTGTAGACGCGGCTGCTGTAACAAAAAGACCTCCAGCTCCCGCAGCTATAAAAATAGAAAGATTTATTGCTCTGGTGGCTCGGCTCCATGGTCCCTCGTGACAGGGCTCCCTTCCTCTTGTCACCCCCACCCTCCCCTAGGGTGTGGCCGGAGCTGGCTCTTGGTCACTGCAATGCTCCAGCTCATGTCGCAGGACAGGGAAGGAGCGTACCGAGGAGCCCCGGGGCTGGCACACGCCCCTTCTCCCCCGGGTCCATTGGCGAGACTCGGTCCACGGTTGCCCCGAGCTGCAGGGGACGCTGAGTGTGCGGCCCACTCCAGTTCTGTCACAGCAGCAGGACAGACGCAGGGAGGCAGCTGCCAGTCTGACTCACATATTTCCCTTGGCTCCCTCATCCATCCGTATATTCCCAGGAGGGCCAGGCCCTTCTCCATAGGGGGTCCTTCTATCTCGGCTCTTCCTGGCTGGGTGTCCTCAGGCAAGTGACTCAGCCTCTCTGAGCCTCAGTGCCTTCATCTGTCAAATGAGCATCCCTCTCACGGCCTGGGGTGGGTTCAGGCCAGAGCCTGGGGCCTGGATGGGGGCCCAGAAGGCCCAGCTCCTCGGGTGTGGGCAGGAAGTGCTTCTCATACCCAGAGTCCAGCGGGGTGGAGGCCCGAGGGGGCTCCCTAACGGGCAGCGGCTCCACCTCCTCCACTTCCAGGACGGGCAGGTCCCCAGGGGGCTGGGCCTGGGGCACCTCCTGGGAGAGGAGAAGGCTGAGAGTCTGCCCCTGGCCCCCTCTCACCCGCCCCACACTGTCCCGTCAGCCCCCAGGGGCCGCGACAGGCCAGCCTCTGGCTCACCTCCAGGTGGGGCTGGCCGGAGCGGCTGTTGGCGGGATCGGGGACCTTCTCCCAGACCCAGCGGGGCAGCACCTTGTGCCGCAGGGGGAGGCACCTGGCAAGCAGGGAGGAGTCAGGGCAGGGAACCCGGGCCCAGACGCCCCGCCCAGGATGCAGGGGCCAGAGGCGACCCTCACCACCCCCACCCAGGGGGCTCAGCTGCTGCCCAGCCGCCCTCCCCCTGCGGCAGAGACGCGCACGCCTGACAGCCTCACCTTCCGGACATGGCGAGGCTCACGCCACAGGCGGTCAAGAGCAAGCCCCACAGGAGCAGGACACCTGGCAGGACTTTCCACTTCAGGGTGTTATCTTGGGGGAGGGGCAGAAGGACAGGTGGATGGGGGAAGGGCTCAGGTAAGGTTAGGGGCCGGGTTGATGAAGGGTAGGGGCTCAGGGGAGGGAAACCCGGGCGTGGGAGTGGGGCTTGTGAACAGAGCATGAGGGGTGACAGGTCAAGGCCGGGGGTGGGCAAAGGGTCAGAGCCGCACAGGCCGCACGATGCACAGCAGCATGCAGTGCAGCCGAATCCAGACGCCCCCGAGGCGTCCCCAGTAACTGCCCCCAAGTCAAGGGCTGCTCATTCGCTGAAGCCCCTGATGCTTCCCGGCCCCTGCTAGGGCAGTCCCACCCTGGCCCCTACCTGGAAGGTGGAGCCGCAGGCTGGGACCCGGCGGGCCCTGTCCTGCGATGGTGGACGCCGTCACCCACAGCTCACAGGGACCCCAGGGAAGGCCGGGCAGGCTGATGTTCTGGATGCTGCCACTCACTGAAGGACACACCCAGAGAGGTTGGAGGGCCTTTGCACAAGCTTTCTCTCTGTCTGCATCGCTCACCCCCAGATATCCACACGGCTCCCCCGTTTGAGTCTTTGCCCACATTTCACCTCCTCAGTGAGGCCCTCCCGGACCTGCCGCATTTTAAAACCATACCTCCTTCACCACCCATCGGCCCGGCTTCACTCTCTACCTGGCATTTAGCAGCATCTGCCACACTGCTTAGGGATTATTTACTTTGTCTATGCCTGCGTGTCCCTATTAGAAAGCAGCTCCAAAAGGGTGTTCCCAGTGCCTGGATCAGTGCCTGGCACATAGAAAGCCCTCGAAAGTGACATCTACCTATATCTCTGTCTCTATCTACATGTATGACTAGATAAAAGAAGGAAGGAGCGTCACGTTCCCTCTGCACAGAACCCGCAAAGGGAGCGTCTCCCAGACAAGGGGAAGACATCGGCACTCCCAGAACTACTTTTGTTTCCATTTTTACAGAATTGCTCCTTTTTTTGTTTTTAAGCCAAAAAAAGAAGTAGCTTTTTGGTTTGTTACAAGAGCGTAGGAGACACGAACATGGGTCAAGACATAGAAGGATGCCCAAGTTAAACCATTAGGTGAGAAAGATAAAGTCGTAAAACATCACAGTCATAGGATTCAGGGGCCAAAACACAGCCTATAACATGGTCCTTTTAAAATAATAATAATAAATACACATGTATCTATTTAATAATGTCATATATGTATAATTTTTAACCTAATGATCTATGTATACTTTTGCAAGGTGCAATCATGGCAAAATAACTGTTAAAAAGTCTACCAAGGGCCGGCCCCATGGCCAAGGGTTTAAGTTCACGTGCTCCGCTTCCACGGCCCAGGGTTTCGCCAGTTCGGATCCTGGGCACAGACATGGCACCACTCATCATCGGGCCATGCTGGAGCGGCGTCCCACATGCCACAACTAGAAGGACCCACAACTAAGGATACGCAACTATGTACCGGGGGGCTTTGGGGAGAAAAAGGAAAAATAAAATCTTAAAAAATAATAATTTTTAAAAAAAGTCTATCAGAGACAAATGCTAAGTACTAATGTACTTAGAGATGAAATGACACCAAAGACTCTAGAAAAAAGAAGTGCAGGGGCTGAGGTGGAACGAGACCGGTAAAACATCAGAAACTGCGGGCGCTGGGTGGTGGGCACATGAGGGTTCGTTTTACTATTCGCCCTATGTTTGTGTGTGCTTGAAATCGTCTATAATAAAAAGTCAAAAACCTTCCCAAAACACAACTCCTATCCCTGTGTTAACACCTGCATGGAAAAATCTGGAAGCTATCAGCGAAACGATGAGACTGCTAGAATTCTTGATGACATACCCCCGAATGGATCAGCTTTTGTCACTTTTGTAATTAGAAAAAAAGGTAATAAAGATACTTTTAAAAAGGGAATTTGTGCTCCGAGTAAAAATTTAGCCCAAAAGTATGAAAAAGAAAGAAAAGTTGTACGTAATCCTGCAGCCCTGTTGACACCGTGGGGCATTTCTCCCTCCGTCTGGGCCTCTGCTCTGCTCAGTGCTGGGGTACTTCACAGAAATGGAGCCATCCTACGGAGTTTGGCGATCTTTTTATCTTTTTCACTTCATAAGATGTGACAGGCATCTTTCAATGTCCATAAATATAGATCAAGTCTTCCTTTTTAATGGCCAATGACAGACAGTCCATTCTATTGATGGCCACAAGGGTTATGGTCCGCTAGGGAACTGATGACGTCACGTGCGCTCCCAGGGGCGGAGAGGGGACCCAAGGGGCCAGTCTGGGGACGAGGGGTGGGACAGACTGAGGGGTGGGTCTCGCGGGGGCTGGAGAGGGCGTTGGGCAGATGGCTCACCATTCATGCAGACGGAAGGCCTGGTCCCACTCTGTGCACACAAGGTGTAGTGGGAAAGACGGCCCCTAAGCTGGCGCCTGGGGACCTCTCCCCACGCCACAGCGGGGGTCCCCGGCGGGGCATCCTGGAGTCGCCAAAGCGCTGGTCCCGCCAGGGGTGCTGGGGAGGAAGCCAGGGGGTCAAGGTCTGCTGGGGTCCCAGGACCCTCCATCCCCCAGTCCCACCGCTTACCTAGCTCCTCTCCGAACACCCAGACGGAGGGGGCAGGGGCCAGGCCCCAGGGAGAGACGGCCGTCACCGTGATGCGGTAGGGGATCCCCGCTTCGAAGCGCCCTGGGCGGGGGAGGGGCAGAGAGCGGTTAGCGCGGCTCCCCTCCCCGCTCCCTCCCTGCTGGGGGGGGCGCTCTTCGGAAGGCGCGCGCGGAGACAGAGGCGAGGAGAAGCGCTTCTTCTGAGCAGTAACCGCAGAAAACACCAAGAGGGCTGAGGGTGCGTCAGAGGACACGTCCCCAGCTCGAGCCCGCTCCCTCCGCGGGGCCGCAGAGAGCACCCGCCTGCGAGCCGGCCCGCCGAGGGTCACGGCTGGGGGCTGCACCCGAGGGAGCGGAGCCGGTGCGCCCACCCCCGCCCCCAGCGGTCACGGCGGAGGGCTGCACCCGAGGGGCCTTAATCCCCGCACTTGCCTGCAGCCCAGGCAGGCAAACTGCTTCAGGGACCCGAGAAGGCCCTCAGACCAGGAAATGCGGTGCCAGAGGCTGGGAGGGGGTCAAACACAGGGCTGCGAGTGGGGCCCTGCCACCACCCAACACGGGGGCGGGGGGGGGGCGGGGGGACGAGGTCCAGAAGGCCTTCTCAAAGCCTCCTGCCGCCTAGCAGCCCTCCCCAGATGGGAACTTTCCAGAATTGGGGCTCCTCCTCCTTTCGTCCGTCCGTACGCGCTTACATAAGGGCCTCGGGACTCTCCTAAGTTTCTCAGTCAGCACCTTCCCGCGCTCTCCCGAGCCCTTCGCCCAGGACCGACTGCCCACCATCAACCCCAGACCTGGGCGTCCGACACCCACGGGGGACTCCGCTTGGATGAATGGGCACATGGGCCCCCGAAATTCGGCTCTGAGACTCCCCAGCCAGAACTCGTCTGCTGCTTCGCCCTCCTCGGTCCCCAACTGGTCCAGCCCCAGGGCCTACATCGCTTCTTGGAGGTCTCTCGGCTCCGGCCCTCCTCAGCCCGTCTGTCCCCCGACAGCAGCCAGAGGGCGCCGGTGAGCACCTGCCTCGCCACCCAGCCCCGCCTCCGCCCGCCCTTCCGGCACAGCCCTGCGGGCTCCCACCTCCCCCAGAGAAACAGCCCCGTCCTCGCTGTGGCCCCGACGACTTGCACAATCTGCTTGTTCCCTCCCTGCCCCACCCCTTCCCACCCTCCCCCTCACTCATTCTGCTCCAGTCACCCTGGCCTCCTCACTGTCCCTCTAAGGGCAAGGACGTTGCTGCCTCAGGGCCTTTGCACTGTCTGTTCTCACTTGCTTCCCTCAGACATCCTCACGGCTCTCTCTCACCTCCTTCAGGTCTTGGTTCAAATGCCACTCTCCCAGAGAGGCCTTTCCTAACCTTTCTTTCTAAAATCGCGATTCTCCCTCCTCCCCATTACTTTGCTTTAGTTTTCCCTGATTCCACTACTTGGATGTACTTGGATTTTTCTTGTCTGTTTCATTAGCTGCCTGTCCCACAAGAGGGTCAGCTCCACGCGGCCTGGGACGTTGCTGAGAGGAAGACTGGTGTGGTGGCTCTGGGCTTGGTTTCAGGAGCCTGACTAGGTGGTTCAAATCCTGGTTCTACTGCCTACTTGCTGTGTGGCCTTGGGCAAGTTGCTTAACCTCTCTGGGCCTTTTTCTTCATCTGTACATCAAGCATGATAATAACAGAAACCTACTTTATAAGGAATTTTGAATGGCTTAATGCTGATGCGATAGACACCAGCTGCCATTCCTGTGTACTGGTGTCTAGAACAGGGCCTGACACGCAGGGGTGGTCAGTGTCTACTTCCTGAGTGAATGAATGACCCTTTCAGCACAGCACTCTCTCCCGCCAGCCCCCATTGCCCGCTCCCCAGCAGCCGGGCCAGCCTCACCTGGCAATAGAGTGCTGAGGTTCCCAGGGGGAAGCCGGACCCAGGCGAGGTCCTGGAGGGGCGCCCCGTCTGGAGCCCAGTCCACCACATGCTCCGGCAGCTCCCCGGGGCCCTGTTGCCAAGTGACTAGCAGCCCTGTGCTCCCAGCGATGCCGACCGCCACGCCGTGGGGGGCAGAGCCCGGACCTAGAGGGTGGAGGAGGAGAAGTCTTGGTGGCCTATCGGGGGGTCCCCCCGCCCCCAGGGCGCCGCGGAGGGGGGTCCCGGCCCCTTACCCAAGCAGGCCAGAGAGAGATTGGCCAGGGGCGGCCGGCTGGTGGCGTGGGCGCCGGCGACAGACAGCCCGACCCACTCTGCCCGGGCGGGGACGTCGTGGCTGCAGCAGGCGACCGGCTCCTGGCACGTGCCCGGGAAGCAGACCCTGTATTGCCGCGGCGGGCAGTGCCCCGGGGCCTGCGGGAGGAGAGGGGCGCGGGTGGCTCAGCGAGGGCGCCCCACGAACCAGACAGGGGGCTCTCTCGCTGCTGGTCCCACCCCTGCGGCTGAGGAAACTGAGTCTCAGAGGGGCCAGCGCAGGGGTGGGGGCCGGCCCGGGGGAGAAACCCAAGGCTCGAGATAAGTTATGTTTTAGTCAATCAAAATTAATGCCAAAAAAAAAAAAAAAACCCATGACAACAAAATTTCCAGATTCTAGGCAAAGCGGGGGTCTGAGGCCAAGGCCTCAGTGATTCCAGGTGTCCCTGGCACAGAAGACGGGACCCTCCCCGGGGCTTTGGGGACAGTCCTGGACTCCTGGTTGCCTCAGTGACTGGTACTTAATGGGCGAGAGCCAACGGCACACACTCTTCAGACCAGAAGTGTCCCAGGTCCCTGCTGCTTCTGAGTGGTGGCCCCACTGCCAAGCCATCCAGAGGAAAGACCTGTCTAATCATCTTAACCGATCTGAGAACCAAACTCCTTTCGATGTATAAATACAAAATCTTTTGGGGGCCTGGTTTTAATATTCACTGAGTTTTGAAATACTCTGAACACATAGGGACTTTCCAGGCAGTTTTTATCATCAATTCCCAGCACAGTCTGTGTTCTGAAATCAGAGGATTTCTGAGTGTCCTGCAGCACCTCCGCCCTGCAGCCCCTGGATGCGCCTCCACGCCCGGGCCAGCCTGATCTTGGCGAACGTCGTGTGTGCGGAGAGAGCACACGCTCTGCTGCCTCCAGCGGGAGCCCATTAGGGGTTTCTCACCACACATGCAGATCTCTAGTCTTAACCTGCGATCCCTGTGCTTGTGATGAAATCACTGACAGCGCTGTGAGAATCTCCCACAGGGACTGTGGATCCATCTACTCCTCCCTGTGGTTCTGTCCACTTTTGCTTTATGTGTTTCGAAGCCATGTTATCACATACGTACAGATTCAGTCCTCAGACATGGGGAACTGAATCTTTTGCCTTCATGTAGTAACCTTATTTCCCTTTTATTTTCTACTGAATGTTATGATTAGAACACTGCCTTTTTGGGGATACAGGAACACCTGCACCTGCACACATTCTAGAACATGTGTATGCATGGGTTATTTATCCACGTGTTTCATTTCAGCACAGGAAAGGGATGTGCTGTGAAAGGGAGGCGCTCAGGTCTCGATCTGCCGTCTGGCAGCCAGTGAATCTGAGCTGTGCCGCTCACCCGCCGTGCAGTTGGGGGCAACCTTTCTGTGGCTTGCTTTTCTCATCTGCAGAGTCAGTTGATAGAACTAATGTGTGGGCGAGGGCCTGGCGTGCGGGAAGAGCTCTGAGCCCTGTTGGTCTGTTCCTCTTGCTGGTGCCTGTGAGCCGGGGCCTGGCCACAGTGGATGCTTGACAGATCTGGACCCAGCGGAAGCGCTGCCCCTTCTCTGTCAGCTGGGGACCCCCTTTCGAGAGCAGCCCCCAGCACTCGGCACACTGCACTCTGTTTTACGGAGCCGGCCCTGTCCTGCTTCCAAACCTTTGCCCTTGCTGTCCCAGCTGCCAGGAACCCCTGCACCCATCTTCACGGCTCCGCTCAGATCTCCCAGAAGCGGTGGACTCTGCTGGAGGCTTGCTGGGCGTGGGCCCCTCAGAGCAGCCCTGCGTGGATGCCGTGGAGGGCAGCAGGGGAGCTCCGCCTTGCTCACACACAGCGGGTCCCCACAACTCACCTTCCACAGAAGCAGGCGTTCTTGTCCACCTCGTGGCCCACACAGCTTTCCCGATATCCACACGTCTTTCGGGGGCGGCAGGGATGACGAAAGGAGGGATAAATGAGGGGCGTGACTGGACAGCCTTCCAGGAGGGGATGAAGGGGGCGGGGCAAGCCGGGGGCCTCACCAGCGGGCAGGGTCTGGAAGGACAGAACAGGGCTCCACTCGCCCCACAGATCCTCTTCTCTCTCCATTCGGCAGCGACCAGACACCTCGTAGCCGGTGGCCAGCGCCAGGTCCTGGATCTCAACAGGGGCCAGGGGGATGGACCTCACTTCTGGTTCCAGCTGGGGGAGAGCACGAGGGAGCGAGGAGGCCAAGGACTGAGTTGAGCATACTCGACATCACCCCTCGGCCCGGTGACCAACTGCCCCCTTTGCCAAGGGCTGTGGGCTCCCAGAACACGGGGCTTTGGGTTTCAAAATTGGGACAATCCCAGGCAAAAGGAGACAAGTTGGTCACCCTACGTGCCAGGAATAGCAGTAAGTGGTAACTTCTGTTATTAGCCCCATTTTACAGATGAGGCCCAGAGAGGGGCAGTGACTTGCCCAAGGTCACAGAGCTGGAGCTGAGATTCGTACCCGGCAGTCAGATTCCAAGTCTGCATAGACAGAGTGACAACTCTGCTCTATATTGTGGTATTTTTACATCAAAAGCTGTGGCTGAGACACTTGATCATCCCCAATACCCATTCTCTCTCTTTCTTCCTTTGGAAATAGAACCCCTGAGCATCAATTGGGAACATGGCTGTCAAGAATAAAGACTACATTTCCCAGCTTCCCTTGGAGTCAGGTGAGACCATGTGACTATGTCCTGGCCAATGAGATATGAGAGGAAATGAAATATGCAACTTCTAGGTTGTGCTGTTAGACAGCAAGGGCGGGTTCCCCGACTCTTTCTGGGGTTCCATTGTTCTGGAATTGCCTTCTCCTTTCTTGCTGTGTGAACTTGGGAAAGTTGCTTAACTTCTCTGAGGCACAGCTTCCCCAGCATCCTAAAAGCGTCTACTATGCAGGGAGGATGGGGCCGCTCGTCAAGGTGGTCCCCGCAGCCCCCTTAGCTTGGGACCTGGCGCACGGCAGGCGCTCAGAAATGCCAGGGGCTTTTATTCATCGTTTTTGAATGTTTCCTGAAAACCAGGCCCTGATCCTCATCTGTAAAACGGGTAGGTTATAAAATGTACCTACCGGAAAGAATTCTTGTAAGGATTCAACAGACCCGTGTCTGCAAGGGACCTGGAACGGTGTCTGGCACACAACAGACGCCCTCTAAGTGTCTGCTGGTATTATTATTTTAAGGTTAACATAGCTATTTGAGGACTTTCACTCATTCATAAGATGTTAGGGGAAATGTATTGAGTTTCTTGAAAATTCTAAGTGGAATTAGGATCGGGACTGCCTGGAGTTTGTGTATTTGGCGGGGAGGGGAGCTGAATAAGATGCACATATAGGTCTTTTGTGTGAGAGGCAGACAGACTCCGGGCCGGTGAGCGTGTTCTGGGCGGGTCTCTGATTTAGGGGCGGAGGTCCCAGGCTCTGCCTGGGAGACGTGGGGAGGAAAGGGCCCCTGACACTCACCAGGGTCCAGGCCATCTCCTGGCACCTTCGGTAGTGGAACTGGCAGACCAGAGCCTTATGGGGCGGCCACGCAGGCGGGGTCCACTGGACAGTGGCCTCCAGGGGGTCATCCTCTGAAAAGTCCACGTCAGGGAAGAGCCGGGGGGCGTCCGGCTTCACTATGGAAGGGGGGCCAGGGTGGGGTGAGCCAGGGCCTCCAGGACCACCCACCCAACACCCAGCGCATCCCCCACCCCGCCTGTTACTTCGGGTTTCCAGGTTCACAAAGACTGGGGGCCAGAGAGGCTGGCCTGCCTGGATCCCCCAGACGAGGAGTTCATCAGACATGGTGAGCTCTTCCCGCGAAATGATCACCCAGCTCTGCCCTGCTGACACGGCCACAGTCCAGTTTCTTTTGGAATGGCTGTGAAGAGAGATGTGGGGATGGGGGAGGTATATTTGGCTGGGCCCAGAGCTGTAATGGTAACAAATGCTCTGCCTGGGTTCAAATCTGAGTGCTGCTGCTTCAGAGCTGTGTGACTTTAAGCAAGTGACTTAACTTCTCTGTGCCTCAGTTTCCTCATCTACAAAATGAGGGCAATAAAAGGACCTGCTGAAAGGGCTACAGAGCAGAGGGGAACCGATGACACATGAGCAGACATGTTTAGAACAGTGTCAGGTGTGCACTGCATGTTACATGAACGCTGGTTGTTGTGTTCACTGAGCAGCTACTATATACATGCACATCTGCATGTGGGCAAGCATGCAGTCAGCAAATCTATATCACGCCAGGCCCTGCTGTAGAAGCTGGGAATAGGACTATGACCAAAGCAGGCAGGGACCCATCCTCTGGAGCTTGCATTCCAGTGCAGGAGGCAGACGCGAAACCCAACACTATATCACAGATGGTGGTATGAGTGAGGCAGAGAACAATCAAGCAAGGAAAGAGGATGCAGTGTGAGGATGAGGTGAGGATGGGGTATGAGGATGCGGTGTGAGGATAGGGTGTGAATATGGTGTGAGGATGGGGTTAGGATGGGGTGTGAGGATGGGGTGAGGATGGGGTGTGAAGATGGTGTGAGAACGGGGTGAGGATGGGGTGTGAGGATGGGGTGAGGATGGGGTGTGAGGATGGGGTGTGAAGATGGTGTGAGGATGGGGTGAGGATGGGGTGTGAGGATGGTGTGAGGATAGGGTGTTAGGATGGTGTGAGGATGGGGTGTGAGAATGGTGTGAGGATGGGGTGTGAGAATGGTGTGAGGATGGTGTGAGGATGTGGTGTTAGGATGGTGTGAGGATGGGGTGTAAGATGGTGTGAGGATGGGGTGAGGATGGGGTGTGAGGATGGTGTGAGGATGGGGTGTAAGAATGGTGTGAGGATGGGGTGTGAAGATGGGGTGAGGATGGGGTGAGGATGGGGTGTGAGAATGGTGTGAGGATGGGGTGTGAAGATGGTGTGAGAATGGGGTGAGGATGGGGTGAGGAGGGACAACACTATTTTAAGCAGGTCCGGACAGATCTCTCCGATGAGTGGACATTTGAATAAAGCCCTGAGGACATAAGGGCAGGGCCATGCAGCACCTGGGGAAGAGCATTTTAGGGAGAGAGAGTGGCCAGTGCAGAGGCCCCGGGTCCAACCGTGCCTGGCGAGTGTGAGGAACAGCGAGGAGGTCGCCCGCTGGCTGGAGTGGCGTGCGTCGGGGGAGCATGGGAGGAAGAGAGGGCAGGGAGGGGACAAGCAGAGTGTGCGGGGCCTGTTGGCCACAGGAAAGGCTCTGGCTGGAGTGAGGTGGGGGCCCAGAGGGCTGTGGGCAGGGGCGGGATGCGCCCAGACTCAGAGGCCCACAGGTGCCGTCTGGAGGCGGAGGCAGAGAGCAGCCTGCAGGGCTGAGGGTGGAGGCTGAGCCTGGGGAGGAGGGGGCTGCAGGGCCGGGCCTGCGAGGGCAGGGGCTGGTCATGGGGGGAGCTGAGGGAGAGTGGGACGCCAGTTCTGGATAACGCGGAGAGGGAGCCAGCAAGGCTTGCTGATGGACCAACGTGGATGAGCGAGAGAGAGAGCGAGGACATCCCAAAGGACTGGATTTCAAAGGTTTAAAACAAGGCGTTCAGAACAAAAAAACCAAACAGAGGTGCTGGCGAAGATGTGCAGAAAGTGGAGGCCCCACAATGCCGGTGGGAACGTACAATGTCGTGGCTGCTGCAGGAGGCACTCAGCAGCTCCTCAGACGCTGAACAGAGAGTTGCCATATGACCCAGCAATTCTCCTCCTAGGCACGTACCCAGAAGAACCGATAATAAGGACTCAAAAAGTCGTCCACGTTCACAGCAGCACTAGTCACAGTGGCCAAAAGGTGGAAGCAGCCTTAGTGTCCACCAACGGCTGAGCGGATAAACACAACCACAACGTGGTCCATCCACTCAGTGGAATATTACTCAGCCGTGAAAAGGAATGAAGTACAGACACACTGCAACGTGGATGAACCTCGAAAACATGCTGAGTGAAGGAGGCCAGTGAGGAAAGGGCACGTATCGCGTAATTCCGTTGACGGGAAACGTCCACAACAGGCAAACGCAGGGACGGAAAGACAGACGGGTGGCTGCCCGGGCTGAGGGAGGGGGGCATGGGGTCACGACCTCTGATGGATATGGAGCTTCCTTTTGGGGTGACGGAAATGTTCTAGAACTAGACAGAGGTGGTGGTTGCACCACGTCGTGAATGTCAATGCCACTGAATTGTTCACTTTAAAACGGTTCATTTTACGTTACGTGAGTTTCATTCATACACAGAGAGGCCTCCTGCCACTTCCCCGGGCGCCCCCAGCAGAAGCAGGCTGCTCTGGAGCCGCCTCGTGAGGATGGTGTGCGACACTGCGAATGTGCTTGCCGCCGCTGAGCCACACACTTAAAAGTGGTGGAGGAAAAAAGATGGTAGACCTTATATGTGTATCTCACCACCATTAAAAAAGCAAAAAAAACCCAGCCCCTCACTCTGGTTCCCATAGTCAAATGTCCCTCTGACTCTTCCCTCACTTGGCCCAGTTGGAAGTGATTTGTGTTTCCAGGAAGCCCGCCTCCCCCTCCACTGCGGGCCCCCGAGGGCCAGGCTTTGTCTGCCTCCTTCCTAGCTGCATCCCCAGCACCAGACCAAATGAGCTTTCCATATGCTCAGAGAGGTTAAGCTACTTACCTAAGTCACACAGCCGTAAAAGCGGATTCTAATTCATAAATTAAATCATAAAATAAAACAATAAATAAGTTCATAAAATAAGCATTTTCTCTTTGCCAAGCACCTAACTCTTTGAAGCCTCAGAACCTACACTGGGAGGCGGGTTCCATTATTCTCGCCGTTTGATAGGGGAGAAAACAGGCTCAGAGAGGGAAAAGGACTGGTCCAAGGTCAGACAGCAAGGAAATGAGGAAACTTGGAATTGAAGGGCTTGGTTGTGGGGGAGGGGGTGCTGGGGGACAGGACTATGGGGTCCTCTTAACCCGAGAATGCGGCGACCTGAGTGGCCCCGCCACAGCCTCAGTTTCCCCAGTCGTCCCGCCGTACTCACTACTTCTGGCTCTGGAGCTGCAGCGCGGAGGGCGCTCCCAGGTCCCCGACGGGCTGCCAGGAGCAGTTCAAGTCGCCCAGGGGCCCGACTCCGTAGCACTGCAGCGGCCCGGGGCTGCCTGGAGGGGGAGGCGGGGCCGGGTAAGGTCAACCCGCCCGCAGCCCGAACTCCCCCCGACTTCGGACAATCGCGGAGGGCGACGGGGGTCCCATGGGGAAACGAGCAGCAGGGAGGGGGCGCTGGGCACCCCGCCGCGCTTCGGGGCCGGCTCCTCCCCCTCCCTCCGCAGCCACATCCTGTCGCCACCCCACGAGCGCCCCCAGCTCAGGGCGCGCCCGCCCAGCGCGCCGGTCCTCGCCGTCCCCGCCCGGGGGGCGCAGCGCGGACTCACCCTGCGGGGGGCACCGGTCGCACAGCAGCAGCAGCAGCGGCAGCAGCAGCAGCTTCGGTCGCAGCCGCGGCCAGAAGGCGACGGCCCGGGCCCCCCGCATGGCGCCCCGCGCCCCAGCCCGGCCGCGCGCTCGCCTCGCTCTCCCCGCCGCCCGCGCACCTGACACCCGGCCGCCCCGCCCGCCCCTTCCCTTTCCCGGCGGCGCCGGAAAGTCCCCGCCGCCGCGCTGGGGACGGGGAGGGGACAGCAGGGAGCGGGGAGGGGGAGGCGCGGCGGGCTGGCTCCCCGAAGGCCGCGCCCTCCGGAGGGATGCGCGGGCGCGGGCGCACACACACACACCCCCAGGCGGCAACGTCCTTCGGCACTTTTATTACTGCGGTTGGAGAAGGTTCTGATCCGACCTCCCACCGAGCCGCCCCGCCCAGGATGTGAAGGGGACCCAGTGGTCCCGCCACCAGCCCCGGGGGGGCCAGGGCAGTGCACCCCCCAGCAGGCAGGGCTGGAGGGAGAGGGGCTGGAAGGCAGGGGCAAGGGAGTGGGCAAAGGCTGGAGAGGGGCAGGGCGTCATTTGGGCCTGCCAGGGGACAGCGGCCACAGGTGGGGCAGGAGACAGTCACAGTTCAGGCACGGGGCTCAGGGCGGCCAGCTCAGGTGAAGTAGGGACACCCTTGCAGAGGGGGACAGTGCAGGCCAAGCAAAGGCAGGATATGGGCCCGCGAAAAGTCAGGGGTCAGGATCAAGGGTCCCTGTTCGGCCCAGTAGGAGTGCAGCTTGCTCAGGGTCAGGACAGGCTGGTCCAAGGTCAGGCTTGTTTGGGGGGCGACTGTGTTCGAGCCCACAGGCTGGCCTCCGTGACTTGCTGATGAATGAATGCGTGAAGAGTCGGAGGCAGGGGCCTGGCCGGCGCCTGGGCTAGCAGAGGCTGCTGATTTCACTCTTGCTGCATCCCCGCTGGCAGCAGGTACTGGAGAGGCCGGCCAGGACATCACGGCCGCCCCGAAGAGCCCCCAGCACTCCCTGCCAGCTGGGCCGGCCCCCGGAGAAAGCCTGAGGGGACTTGGCTGGGGCCAGCCACTGGCTGGAGGCCACTGCCTCCTCCAGCTCGCTGTCTGCGTCAGAGTCGGCGTCTGGGAAGGCATCGCCTGCAAAAGATGAGAAGAGTGAGTGCAAAAGATGAGAAGAGTGAGTGTGCGGAGCTTACCTTCTGTCACACCCAGAGTCCCGGCTGATCCAGCCACGTCTCTGTTCTTGTCACTCGGCGTCATGGTTAAAGGTTTTGATTCCACTCAGGCCTGGGTTCCAGCTTTAATGGGCAGACTATTCAACTTCACTGAGCTTGACTTTCCTCTCCTGTCATTCTTTTCCCCTAGTCTTTATTTATTGAGGACCTGATAGTTAAGAACATGTGTTTGGGAACCCCACCAGTCCAGCTTCTTCGAGTTAGAACCCTGAGGAAGTGAATTTACTTCTCTGAGCCTTAGTTTCTTTGTCCACAAAGGGGGAGGGGGATAATAACTCCTACTCTTAGGGTTTTCTACAGAGTAGATGAGTTCATTAATACCCATGAACATCTTAGGACAGCGTTTGGCACATGACAAGCACTCAAAATAGCACTGATCAGTTATTGAGCGCTTAATGTGTGCCAGGCCCTGTTTTAAGGGCTTTCGCAGATTGACTCTTTATCCCTCTCATGACAAGCCCGTGAGTTGGGCGCTGTCAGCATCATCTTGGCCCCGGTGACACTAGGCCTCCTGCCCCCACCTTAACCCAGACCAAGCTGGGCGCTGCTGAGACTGTGTCCTCATCTGTGTTCACTCGATTTTGCCTCTGTACGATCCTGCGAGATTCAGGGGCCATGCCTCCCATTTGCAGAGACAGAGGCCCAGAGAGGGCAAGCAGCTTGCTGGGAGCATCACCCCTACGTGTCAAAGTCACAGCCTCCCACCGCCTCCCCAGGGGGCAGCGCTCTGGGTCGGTTTCTGAACTGCCCCGCGCCCAGAAAACTCGCGAGCGGGCCTCACTCTGCGGGGGTCTGAGTGCCGGGCAGGAGCTGGGGAGACAGCAGCCTGTTCCCTGCCTTTAGGGGCAGGGGGCTCGGCTGACTGGCTCCCCCAGCCTCGGCGTCACTGCCAGGCTGAGCCGGGCTCCCCAACCGACGTGGCAGCGCAGGGACTGTCCTGCCCGGCCCCCCTCTCATCTCTGTCCGTGGCTCCTTGGACTCATCCGCGTCCTGTCCCCACACCCCCGCAACACGCACACACGCCCTCCCCAGCCTCACCCATAGCTTCGCGGGCCAGGATGTCTGACCGTCTCCACCGGGAGCCCCCACAGGTGAAGATGACAGCTCGGATGAACTCCCGGCCGCAAAGCTTCACGCCGTAGGGTGCTGCCCGGGCTTCGGCGCTCAGCCACAGCTCCCCAGCCAGCACCCACAAGGCCAGCAGCAGCAGCAGCGGGCGCTTGGCCATGCCGCACAGGGACGCCTGGGAAGCGAGCGGGAGCGCAGCGAGGCAGTTCCTGGGGTCGGTGTCTCCTCTGCCTCCTGGCCCCCCTTTTATACGTCCCCGCTCCCCCCGCCTGTTGTGGAGGAGCTGAGTGACCTCCTTTATCTCCTCCAGCAGAGGGGAAGCGGGCACAGCCCCCCCACCCCCGACCTTTCCCAGTTCCTGGACCAAGAGATAACCTTTTGCCGAGGATGCAGTGACATGGTCCAGCTCCCTGTCATCTTCAAGAGACAGAGGGGGCAGGTGTCCATTCCGCACAGCCCGCGAACACAGACCCCCACCAGCCCCGGAGAGAGGGCGCGCCAGGCCCCCAGAGGGCTGGCCCCAGGCCTCCTCTGTGACAACAACAACAGTGGCAAGCCTCACACAGGATGGCCTGTGAGGCCAGACGCTGCTCTCAGCGTCCTGTAACCGTGTGGTCTGTTCAATCTTCCCAGCGGCCCCTGAGAGCAGCTCTCAATTTTGAGCCAGACTCAGAGTCTGCGGGGGGGCTCGTTAGGGTTCAGAGCGCCCCCTGCAGAGTGTCCGAGAACCTGTATTTACATCAGATTTCCAGGCCATGACGATGCTGTGGGTCCAGAAATCACACTTTTGAGGGCCACTGGGCTGTGAGATGAGGACTAAGAGATCCCTCTGTCACAGATGAGGAAACTGAGGCACAGAGCAGTGATGTAAGGTGCCCAAGGGCAGCTAGGAAGTGGGGGTGGGAGCGGGAATTGGAACAGAGCCATCTGACTCCAGGATCCATGCTGTCTCTCCACGGGACAATTTTCAAGAGTTAAAATAAAATCTTATGGGGACAGAGTTTCAGTTTTGCAAGATGAAAAGAGTTCTGGAGGCGGATGGTGGTGAGGGCTGCACAACAATGTGAATGTGCTTAATGCCACTGAAGTGTCCGCTTAAAGATGGTTAAGATGGGGGCCGGCCTGGTGGTGCAGTGGTTAAGTACACCCCTTCCACGTTGTGAGCCCGGGGTTCACTGGTTTGGATCCTGGGTGTGGACATGGCACCGCTTGGCACGCCATGCTGTGGTAGATGTCCCACATATAAAGTAGAGGAAGATGGGCACAGATGTTAGCTCAGGGCCAGTCTTCCTCAGCAAAAAGAGGAGGACTGGCAGCAGTTAGCTCAAGGCTAATCTTCCTCAAAAAAAAAAAAAAAGATGGTTAAGATGGGAGCCGGCCTGATGGCATATTTGGTTAAGTTTGCGGGCTCCATTTAGGCAGCCTGGGGTTTGCAGGTTTGGATCCTGGGTGTGGACCTACACACCACCCATCTAGCCATGCTGTGGTGGTGACCCACATACAAAATAGAGTAAGATGGGCACAGGCGTTAGCTCAGGGACAGTCTTCCTCAGCAAAAAAAAAAAAAAAAAAAAGTTAAGATGGTAAAATTTGTCTTATATATATTTTTCCACAATTAAAAATTTTTAATGAATACCATACACATAGAGGAGCTGTGATGTGCTGGGAAATATTTAGCAATGGCTCTCCAGAAAAAAAGGCCCTGATTTGTAGCAGTTGTGGATTCTGGCCAGTTTCAAGTTACCAACATCATGTCAGTGTGATGTCCGCAAATTCCTGAAAAGATAGCAATCAGTCCTACGAGCCAGCACAAGCTGGCTCCCGCACACCGCTGAAGGCAAAACACACGCGTGCAATTTGTGCAACTTAAAGAATCATTATAAACAGGACATCACTGTTATCATCATTCTGAACAGGAAATAGGATGGTGCCAGCACCACAGACGTCCCCTCACTGCGTATCTTCTCCGGTCATAATCCCTCGGTCCCCCAGGGTGGCTGCCCTCCTGACTTGAGTCGTTATCACTTCTTTCCTTCTCGTTACAGTTTTAATGCCAACACGTGCATCTCTGAGGCGGATGGCTCCATCTGTCTCTTACTTTCCTGTTTCCTCTGTGCATTCTCACAGACTGAACTTTTCACTGAAATACGACACACACGGAGAAAAATGCAGAGACTGTCAGGGGACGTCTGGAAGAATTTCCACAAACCGAACACACTTCTGCATCCAGCACTCAGGTCCGGAAACAGACTCTCCCCAGCCTCCGCCTGGCGCAGGGGGAGGAAGCTCCGCCTGCAGGAGGAGGAGTCTGGAAGAATCCATGACACAGTGAAGACGACACTCACTGATAAATACTTAGGGTGAGATACTGTGAAGCAATGCAAAGGTCCTGTTTCCCTTTGAAATTTCTGCCACTAAATTTAACATTCCTCGGTGGACAGAGTGTGTAGAAATTATTACTGTGGTGTCTGTTTATTAGTAATTTTCCATCGGCCTCATTCGTTCCACATTGACTATTGTTTTTCATTTGGAATTTTCTGTAAGGAAGAGTTGTTCTGTGTCCACGTATTTATTTATTCAATCGGTTATTCATACCAGTATGGACTCGTGAATAGATATCCTATTCTGTGGGTTAGAATCCAGTGCTCTTATTGATTTCTCACCTCAGTTGTCCCAGCTTTGGCGGCGGGGAGCTCTTTCATTTGCACCTTATTCCAAGCTTTGTATTTCAGCCACTGCTCTTTCCACATGCTCCTTTTCTGAGCACTTCCTTGCTTTCTGGCGCCACAGATGCTGCAGGCTCATTGCTTGTCTCCCTGGCCCAGCACTAGGATCGGCCATCTCCCCTAGGAGCCTGGTTCGCTTTATTGGAGACGGCATGGAGGATCCCAGCCCGGGCGCTGGCTGTGCTCGTTGCTACTGGGGGTGGGGGTGTTGTTGCTTCTAGGTCCTGTCAGCCGATAGCATTACTTTAAAAAAATACTGACGTAAAATTCATATGAAATAAAATTAACCGTTTTCGTGTTACATGTACACAAATGTTCACAGCAGCTCTATTCACAACAGCCAAGTGGAAACAGCCGAAGTGTCCATCAATAGAGGAACAGATGAACACAATGTGGTCCATCCACACAGTGGAATATTACGCAGCCATAAAAAGGAACGAAGTCCTGATACTTGTTACAATGTGGATGAACCTCAAAAATATCACGCTGAGTGAGAGAAGCCAGTCAGGGAAGGCCACATGGGGTGTGACCCATTGATGTGAAATGTCCAGAACAGGCACATCCACAGACACAGAAAGCAGAGTAGGGGTCACCAAGGACTGGGGGAGGAAGGAATGGAGAGTCATTGCTACTGGGCATCCCTATGGGATAATGAAAATGTTTTGGAAATAGAAGTGGTGGTTGTACAACACTATGGATATACTAAATGTTGCTGAATTGTTCACTTTAACACGGTCAGTTCATGTTATGTCAATTTCACCTCAATTTAAAAAAACAGCAGGGGCTCTGGTGATGAGCAGAGCTGGGTTAGAATCCCATCTCTGCCTCTTTCCTGCTGTTTGATCTTGGGCAAGTCACTTAACCTCTCTGTGCTTTGGTTTCCTCACGTGTAAAACAGGGAGGATTCAACCAAGTGTGTTAAATTCTTAAAACCGTCTGTGGCATGCAGTAAGCATTGCTTAAATGTTATTTCTACTTGACACTTTCCCTTTGCATTCGAACTTTATTCCTTTGTCCTTTTCTTCATGACAAATGCCTGGCCTCGGTTGCGCCCTGAGGGTGTCTCGGGCCATGGGTAACGTTCCAGAAGGCAGGAGTCCTATCTGATTGTACTGCTTCAAAAGGGCTGATGAATAATACGCTCCCCGCCCCCCCCCCCCCCCCCCCCCCCCCCCCCCCCGCCTCCTTCCTGGCGACGCCCCAGGGACGCACCCTTCTGCCCTTTTCTCCGTGTCCCCGGTGTCTGGCCAGGGCTTCGGGAAATATCAGCTGCCTGACTGTCTGGGGCAGAACCAGGAACCTCTTTTGTGCCTCACACAGAATCAGAGTTTTGAGCCCAACACAGCTGGGTTTGAATCCCGGTTCCTGTGTGACCTTGAGCAAGATGTTGCACCTCTCTGAGTTCATCAGGAAGATGGAGATAATAAGGGTATCTACTTCACGGGGCTGTTTGGGGACTTCAGTGAAATTTTGTAAAGTGCCTAGCATCCTGCATAGTGCAGGGTTGAATGGTGACCTGCAGAAAGATGGGTCCATGTCCAACTCCCGGGACCTGTGAACATGGACTTATTTGGAAAAAGGGTCTTTGCAGATGTCATTAGGGACTTTCAAATGAAATTACCCTGGATTATCTGGGCGAGCCCTAAATCCACTGACAAGGGTCAAAGACACAGACACTAGTGACAAGGCCGAGTGAAGACAGAGGCAGAGACGGGAGGGACGTGGCTACAGAAGCTGTCACACCTGGAGCCCCCAGAACCTGGAAGAGATGAAGAAGGACCCTCCCTGGAGCTCGCGGAGGGAGGCTGGCTGTGCCCACATCTTGGTTTCGGGCGCCCAGCCTCCAGACTGGGAGAGCATGCCGCTGCGGTCAGAGCACCCACGGGAGACCAGTGTATCAGCCCTGGGAGACGCCGTCTGCTACCAACAGCAGCATCCTCATCGTCACGAGTATTTGGGTCAGCATAAAAAAGCGCCCGGATCTGAGCAATCCTAAAGAAAGACTTTCTCTCCAAACTTCCAAATTGATTTTAGTTTTGAATAGTTAACACATCCATGTGCTTCAAAAAACAAAAAGTATACGAAGGCTTACGCTGCCGCGTCCCCCTCCCAGACCTCAGCTCCTCGCCTCTCCCCACAGGGCCCCCGCTGCTCTTGATTCCGTGAGTATCTTCCCAGAACATCGGCGCACACACACAGACATGAATACAGGGCTTTGTTCCCCGCACACACCTGCTTTTACAAAAAAGGTAGCTTAAAATTTTTTTTATTGGGGTAAAATATACATAACATAAATATGCCCGTTTAGCCATGTTTGAGTGTGCAGTTCAGCGGCATTAAGTGCGTTCACATGGCTGTGCGGCCATCCCCACTGTCCGTCTCCGGAACTTGCTCATCTTCCAAACCGGAACGCTGTCGCCATGAAACACAACCTCCTGCTCCCCCGCCCACCCGGCCAACACCACCCACCTGTCCTCTCCGTGGACTCGCCTGTTGCAGGGACCCTGGATAAGTGGAACCGCACAGCACTTGCCCTTTTCTAACTGGCTTCTTGCACTTAGCGTGATATTTTCAAGGCTCGCTCGCGTTGTCCGTGTGTCAGGATTTTAATTCAGGGTCACGTGTTCTGCACCTTCTTCTGCATTTTGTCTTTTTTCTTTTCAGTTAAAGACAAATGCGGGAGCCCTCCCCTCCCCACGCTCCCAAAACGCCTTGTTGGTTCCGCAGCAGTGGGGCGGACGCTGGGGGAGGCCCACTCGGCGATTTCACTCCCGAGTCGGGTACTTTTCATCCACTTCTTCTCCGGCTAACACCTCAGTGAGGAACCCTAGACAGCCGTCATTTCACACATATGCAAGCACATCTGTACATGATTCCCCCAAAGCGAGATTTTCTTTTGGGTTGTTGATCTTTTTCTTCTTGATTTCTAAGAGTTCTTTATATATTAAGGAGATTTACCATCGGGTTATGAAATGAGTTGTAAATATTTTTTTCCCGGTTTGTCATTTCTACAAGCTTTTCAATTAATGATCACTAGTATTTGTTGAGGCTTTGATATATGCCTGGGTTTTTTTTTGTTTGTTTATTTTATTTATTTATTTACTTTGAGGAAGATTAGCCCTGAGCTAACATCTGCTGCCAATCCTCCTCTTTTTGTTGAGGAAGACTGGCCCTGAGCTAACATCCATGCCCATCTTCGTCTACTTTATAACTGGGACGCCTGCCATAGAATGGCTTTTGCCAGGCGGTGCCATGTTCACACCCGGGATCCGAACCAGCGAATCCGGGCTGCTGGGAAGCGGAACGTGCGAACTTAACTGCTGCGCCACCGGGCCAGCCCCTATGCCTGGTTTTGAGCTACATACTTTAAGCACACTATCTCATTTCAGCCATACTGACATCATCTTTCACCTCTAAATACTCAGCATGCATCTCTGAAAAATAAGGGCCTTTGCCCAC